TGCATTTGCCCCCCCCCCCCCCCCCCCCCACGTTCATGTTACGTTGTTGACCCCGTCTGGGGTTGAAGATGAAGTCTCGGGCAGTCCGACTTCTGTTGTAGGGCTTGCAGGTAAATGCTCCAGTAAGAGCTACAAATGCTGAAAGACCCTGTTAGCGTCCTGCGAGATGTACTCGATTGACGTCATCTGCAGATTCTGTTCTCCGAGTGTGGTGTGTGCGGGAACAAAACACCAGCAGACCTGTGCCGTTCTAGCGAGGGATAAGCAGGGCGCCAGGGGCGTTCGGTCCTGGTTGGGCGGCTTGAGTGATGGTGGTCGGAGGGCCAAGAAGCCAAGCACTTCGATCTTTACCTCTTCCCTCGGCCAGATCTCTTGAGAAAAGCTTGTCCCGCTGTCCGTGGCTTGCGGGATCCTTGGCTTTCCGTCTTGGCTGCCCTGAGGCTCTCGCTACAGACTTGTCGCAAAGCCAACCGTGGAAAGACCAGACTTCAATTCACTTGGGCTGCGCTCACATTTCCAGCCCTTCCAGTGCAGCGGAGTTTCAATGGATGCCTCTTCAGAGCATACCCACGCGGCCACGCCCAACACGGCACTGGGAGGCGCCTGTTACACCCCATTAGTCAAGTGTCGGGCCTGCTGTGGCCCTCCAGCGGGCTTCTGCTTTGCCTCACCGACCCCGTTGAGGCAAACCTTCCCACAAATCCCACTCCTCCGGCAGCTTAACTCCCTCCACAGGCCCCAGTCTGACATGACATGACTGGCTACGCTGCACGCTATGCCTTCACTTGTATCCACCGTGGAGAGATCCCTGACGCACCCACGATCCACCCGGTGTCTACTTGTAGGTATTCTCTCGCTGCTTCCAACCTGCGGTGCGCTTTTGCTGAATGCCATGTCGTCGACAAGTCACATCCCACAAATAAGATTGCTCTGTGGCTTGCTCGCAAACACACCCACAGACACAAGAGTCCTTGACTAGCGTCGTGAAAGTATGGGCCAACATGGCGTCTTCTGGCAGGTACTCCTTGTCCCAATGTCCTTCGTCCCTGTTCCGGACCGTGGTTGGCAGAGGCACTAGGTAGGCTAGTCGCCCAGGATTCACTCCGCTGATGCGGGTGCAGAGTCTGCATCCGGAGTAGGTGTGTGTGCATGCGCGCGCAGTATCCTCGTATGTACTCGATGCGCGCCAAAGGACGGTACCAGGCTATCGCAATACCCCCATCCCCGGTTCCTCGGATCCTTGTCCCAAGTCGTGACCTCAGAGTGCCCCCGTAAGCTGGGACTCCAATCGTATTTACATATCTACTTACTCGAGCTCTCTCTTCCGTCCCTCCTACATCTCCGACTCAGGTGAATCCTCTCTTCGCCTGCTTGTTGTGTCCTCTTATTCATAGGACTGTTCCGATTCATCTTGCTCTCCTCCCTCGACGTGACCCTAGCGTTGCACTCGAGACCACACCCAGCGCCTTGTTTCGACTGTTATTTATCCTCCTGGGACGGCTACTCTCATCCTTCTCTCCCGACCTTCCATACTTCAGCTCCTCCATCATGGTTCTTCAAGACACGTCGCCTCCTCCCCCCGAGAAGAGCAGGGACTTTGCGACGGATAATGACACTGCCCAGGGTGCTGCCGTCCCGCGTGGGTGGTCGGCCTGGTTTGGCGGTCCTAACACCCAAATCGGGCCCCGGATCGCGCCCGTTCTGGGCCGGTCAGCCACGTCCGACTCCGACACGGACGACAGCAGCAGCGCCATTCTCGACAAACAGTTCGCCGACGAGGAGGGCCGCGCTATCCAATACCGGACTTGCAGCTGGCAAAAGGTACTTTGCACCCCGGCCATCATCGCACCAAAGCAAGCGAAATGCGCTCCGCCCGCTTATGGGTGTAGAATTGTATGAATGCTGATCTTAGTTGGTGCTCTAGACTGCCGGTCTGCTCTTCTCCGAGTATATCTGCTTGGTACGAATTCCCAAAGCATTTCCCCTACTACAGTCTGGCTCTGCTAGATGGCGCCTTTATGAGGGCATCTTGCGTGATCGCGAGTCGCATCTTGCGTGATCGCGAGTCGCGCTGCTAGGAATTGAGTCCATCTTATTGGCCAGAAGCCGGGACTGACGATCCATCTCTTAGGCCATTATGAGCTTCCCCTGGTCTTACAGCATTCTTGGACTAGTCCCTGGGTATGAGATCAGTCCCGTCTACACTAATTGATTATCTTCTAACTGTCGATAAAGTATCATCCTAACTATCGTTATCGCTGGCCTCGTGCTCTACACCTCTCTTGTGTTATGGGAGTTTTGTCTCAGGCATCCCGAAGTCCGCGATGTCTGTGATATTGGACAGGTTCTTTTCTGGAACAAGAGGTGGGCATGGTGGGCTACCGCTGTGATGTTCATCCTCAACAATACTGTACGTTGATCCCTGTCAATCCATCTTGAAGCTCATTTCGGCCAGCTGCTAACTTTCTCCAAGTTCATTCAGGTTAGTCGTACATGTCGCCCGGTCTCCAATCTTTCTCATTCGTTGCAACTCACACCATTCTAGGGTCTTCACGTTCTTGTCGGTGCCAAGTATCTCAACACCATGACAGCCACCGATGACGGAGTTGCTTGCCGGACTGTTAGCTACAGTGCCATTATGTTCGTAGTCTGCTGGCTCTGCTCCCTGCCCCGGACATTCAGCATGCTATCCAAGCTCGGTACCGCATCCGCATTCTTCACCTTCATCTCGGTCATTCTTGCTGCCATCTTCGCTGGTATTCAGGCACACCCTGCAGGCTACGATCCCCGCGACAGCTACACGACACCCGCTGGCAAGCACGCTGTTGGCGGCAACCCCATCGTCACCGCCGTCCCGGTTGCCGGCACTACCTTCGTCATGGGTCTGAGCGCTTTCCTTAATATCAGCTACACCTTCATCGGCCAGATCACCATCCCCAGCTTCATCGCGGAGATGAAAGAGCCCAGGTATGTAGTGTGTGCTAGTGCTCTCTGTTCAGAGCTTCGCGACTGACTAGATCATCAGGGACTTCCCCAAGGCTCTGTGGGCCTGCACTATTGCCGAGATCATCGTCTTCAGCCTTGTCGGCGCCATCGTGTATGCTTACACTGGCAACCAATACATGACCGCCCCGGCTTTCGGCTCCCTCGAGCCTCTGTACAAGAAGATCTCGTTCTCCTTCATGATCCCAACCCTCATCTTCCTGGGCGTCCTCTACGCCTCGGTCTCGGCGCGCTTCATCTTCTTCCGCATCTTTGAGAACTCGCGCCACAAGAATGACCATACCGTTGTCGGCTGGGCTACTTGGACTACCATCCTCCGTAAGTTCTCCTTGGATTTTTGAGCCTAGTTATGAACTAACGATAGCTAGTTGGCACTTGGATTCTCGCTTTCATCATCGCCGAGGTGATTCCCTTTTTCTCAGATCGTAAGTACAATATGTCAATGTCTTGATGCCTTGCTTGTCGCGGTACTAATATCATTTAGTTCTCTCCCTCATGTCCTCCCTCTTTGATAGCTTCTTCGGGTTCATCTTCTGGGGTGTCGCCTACTTCCGCATGCGAAAGGCGGACGGCGGAGTCGAGTTCATCCGGCAACACAGCCTCGTCGGCTACATGATGGCCGCTCTCAACATCGCCATCATCCTCACCGGCGTCTTCTTCCTCACTGTGGGCACATATGCCAGCGTCCAGTCCATCATCGACGAGTTCACATCCGGCAATGTCGGTGGCGTCTTCTCGTGTGCCAGCAACGGCTTGTGAGCGTTGCTTTGTCTCAGGGCCAAAAGTCGACACCACATACAAAGGACGATAAAAAGAAATGTGAACGAAGGAAGAATATTTGGATGGATTCTGGGAAGTGCCAAGTCACGAAAAGATACCCCAAACTTTGTATACGAGTAGCGAGGGGAAGACGGTGTCTTGCTCAGCATTTGGATTTCCTTTGCATTTTGTTTTGATTTCATCCCATCTCCCCTTGAACAGAGGCTATGGAATTGAGCAGCGAAAAATTATGGGCTGGGATTTGATCCGGCAAAAGCCTCCATTTCTGGAAAAGGCCAGCGGAGGCGGTGGACTTCAGGATATGAGCGGAGATCATGCTTCAAAGTGTCGACTATCACTTTTGTTTTGTGTGCTTTTTGCATCAAAGGCATGGCCATCGAGTTCGATGTGCCGCAGATAATGCCCTTTCAACAAGAAGAAAGCATTTGTTCACGGCTACAATGCCGCGGCGTACTTTCTATCGCCGCATTCACTGACTTCGAAAGCCCAGCGTCACGACGGCCATGACCCACCCCAGTAGACCAGAGTTCGCGGCCCACCAGCCCGTTCACATATCCGACATCCCAAGAAACTAACCTGTAGTACTCCTTCCCGCTTCGAGGCGATACATTACCTCCTATGATTGTCTCTCAACGATGCTTGAGGCCGAACACACAGTCTGCAATCCGAACCACCCAGACGCTGCTAACCTAGGATCACTCCTGATATGACTTAACTAAACACATGATCGCAGAAGCAACTTCCACCAAGACACATCTTGGCCAGCCTTCTTAGGTGAGACCTTTGGTGTCCATAATCATTTTGACACCGTTGAGAAAACAGGAGGAAATTATTCACATATACCAGTCTTCTCGATGACAATTCATAACACAATAACAAGGTCAAGACTGCCATGATATCCAAGTTTCGCTTGACCTATTCTCTGACTCGACAGTCCACCAGTTCACAAGATGGGAGCATCATGGGTTGCATGTGAAGGCAAGAGGTCACTTTCCTAGTAATGGTAGTCATCATAGAGATCTTGTTTCTTTGTTTATGGCCTTCACATGTATAACCCAAGCAAGTCGAAGCATGTCTTGTCCAGTCTGTTGTCTGGTTCAATAATAACTTGGTGCTCGTTCAACCTGTCTAGTCCAAGCCGAGGTACACTGTAAATTAAACACTATTGAAGAGACATAATGAACACAAGACCTGTGTTCCAGGGGGACCATGACTGGTCCCAGTGATACAGACACAACTGCTGTCGTGAATTGATCAACCACCCCAGTCTGTTGCATTCTTTGTTACCCAATCATGCTCCATCCAAACCATCTGAAGCCCAAGTATTACTGTCTGTGCAAGAATTAACTTAATGACATCACTTAGTGACAGATAGGCAGCCAAGTTAATGACTGCTACTCAAAAATCACTTAGTGACAGCTGGACGGGCCACCAAGTTAATGACCTCCCTTAAAGAATTAACTTGGTGACCGGTGGACCGAGCACCAAGTTGAGTACTTAAAAGACTGTCAGGGAAATATAAAAGGAAGCGGACCTCCCAAAGATCAGCCAAGTTTCTGTGAAGACTTTGATTCACACCAGGGACCAGAAAGAGCACACTTCTCCGAAAGAGAGCACATTTCTTTGAAGGATAGCACATTTCTTCGACAGCAGCTCAACATGGATCGACCTATGGATCGACTACCCCCAGAGGTCATATCCCTGATCTGCAGTCAACTATGCTTCCACTGCTGCTACCCAGATACGATGCCCAATGACGACGATACCGCGATCCAAAAGCGCAAGACAGCACTCGCGCGCTTCACCAGAACGTCGAGAAGAATCGAGATTATCGCGCGCCCCATCTTGTATCATTACTTCTCAGCGGGCTCCTATCCCGAAGGGCCGCGGTCTACTATTTTCGAAGGGTTTGTAGACACTCTGATCAGGCATCCACACCTGGCAGAGTATGTTCAGACTCTCCAGCTACAGTGTCCAGGCGTCCAGGTCCATGATAACCACCAACTGGACCATGGCAACCACCAACTGGACCATGGTAATTACCAGCTGAACCAGATCGATCAGCAGCAGTCAGAGCGGCTCAGAGATGAGCTCGGAATTACTTGGAAACTTGCTGACGTTCGTAACGGGCTGCTGCCAAGACTCGGCTATTATACGTATTCACATATATTGCGTCGCCGGTGGCTGGAAGAAATCTGCATCCTGCTCGCGCCCAACCTAGAGGCGCTGTACCTCAAGCGCTCCGCCGGCCTGACGTTCGCACAGCTGGCCGAATCGATTTCGAACCTCCGCGCCAGCGGACGGGAGCCCCGGGCGCTCAGCAAGCTGAGGACATTCATGCTGCATGAGGACTTCTACGATCCTGGAAGTTTCGAGGCCTACAGCGATTTCCTGCTCAACGTGCCGAGCCTCGAGACCTTCTACTACCTACCCGGACACACTGGACGTTCGCTTGGCGGCAACTCCCTGAGCCATCAGTCCAAGTTCGACCAAGTCTATGCCGGCCACACTCTCGGTGCCGTCAAGACGCTGATGCTGACAGCCCCGGTGGTGGGCTTCCTGCAACGCATCCTCCCGCTGTTCCCCAACCTGGAAGAACTCGGCATAAACTGGGCTCAACCCGAGATCGATTACCCGGCACTGGCTGCCCTGGCCAGCCCGACCAGGATCAAGACTCTGCGTACCTGCAGCCTAACCATGGGGTTCATGACCGCCTCTGGGCGCGTGACACGGCCATACGAGTACCGCCTGGGCCGAGACCGGTACGAGACCCTGCCGCCGGACGCGCTGACGGCCTTTGAGAACCTGGAGGACCTCACTCTGGACCAGGCCGCGTTCCACTACGGCGGCGCCGAAGACCCCCCTCCTCCACAGGGCGGAGCCACCGCCGCCCCAGCGAGCCAAGCCGACAAGACGGACAAGGACCAGCGCCTCGTGGACGTGCTGCCGAGCTCCCTCCGGCACCTGCGCGTCACCTGCGTGTACCGGACCATGCTCAACGACTTGGGGCAGCTGGCCGGCGTGCACCAGGAGCGCTTCCCTGCGCTGCGCACGGTTACACTCGGCTTTGTCGACGTGATGGAGGAGTATCGGAGGGAGGAGATCATGATCATGAGGGAGTGGGCTGCGGATCTGTTCGAGGACACCTCGGTGATCCTGTTCTTGGGTCCGGTGAGCTGGGGGAACGAAGATGAGTCGGGATCAGAGGAGCTATGAGTATTGTTGAGGATTGACGCAGCAATCAATGGGGGTGGAGGCAGTGGATGATCGCGAGGAAGGAAGCATGAAGCAAATTCGCTACATGTATCTCGATGACGGCGAGACATCACAAACAGGTATTGGGTAGAGTGTATCCGCAGATCAGGCTGTACTTTTAGATATCCGGAATAATCCAAATGAGAACAGACCATAAGTCATCGTCTTCACATTGCTAACAGCCTGCAAGACTTTGCTAAACGAACGTGAACAACAACAGTTGCCCCCCCTCACTCATCCCTTCCATTCCATTCCCTTCCCTCCCTTCAAAGCCCAGCCAGCTTCTCCCTCAAGATCTCCCCAATGACCTCCGCGTTCGGCCCCTCGACCCCCTTGGCCAGCACGTCCTCGCGCCGCACCACCACGATCCTAACGCCGCCGTCGGCCTCCCCCTCCCCCTCCTTCATCTTGTTCTTGCCGCCTTCTCCGAGGACGGCCTCGCTGACCTGCCTGATCTCCTCCTCGGGCAGGCCGCCGCCAAAGATGACGGCGCGGGGCACCCGGCGCTCGGCCTCGGGCGCCGCGGCGTTGGACCCCAGGCCCGAGGACGGCGGGGCCGAGGTGTCGCCGGCGACGAGCGCGGGCAGCTCCGAGAGCGCGGCCTGCAGGGTCAGGGTGATGTGGACGACTTTTTTCATCATGGTGTCAGCTCAGTTGTTCTTTGTCTGGGAACCTGAAGGAAGGCTGGGATGGGGTGGGGGGGGAAGGAGGGAGGGAGGGAGGGAGGGAGGGGAAGGACAAATTGAGAGAGGTGTTCTGTTCCAGACGTGGGCGGCGTGTGTGCAAGAGAGTATAGAGAGGCGCTCACCGTCGTAGTCTGGGAGGAGGGAGGCACGGACGGCCTGCGCGACCTCAGAGTTGTTGCCGTAGCTTGCGATGGGGATCGAGGCGGTCATATTTTCGGCTGGGTGGATGGATGCTGTGCTTGTTCTGGTGATGATATGTAGGTTGGCGGGTGATGTTTTACTTGTCTGTCTATCTCGACTTGTGGTAAGGGCTCTGGTGAAATTTGTTGTGACTTGATATCTGTAAATTCTCCCAAGGCAGGCTTCCAACCCTCACCCCTTTTATACACATTGCCCTTGACGTGACTATTTTAAGCACCCACGCCAGGCACCACTTACAAACACCAAAGCAGCATCACGAAACCCCTGTCGGTCACATTCTGACAGCTGGTCCAACATCCATCCCTCTCCCTCCCCAAGGTCCGCCCGGTCTAACTACTACTTACTACTTACTACCTTGCACAAAAACGGCATCAGGAGTCGGAGAAATAACAAGGTTCACAAGCTGCAAGGAGATGAAGTTGGGGTAACCCCGACACGACACCCACACTCCACGGGCACGACAAGAAAGAAACACCAAGCAGAACACAAGACCAGACAAACACCGAAGAAAATAGGGCATTAACACAATCCCCCTTTAAGTGTGGCCTCCTTTTTCGGCTTGTGCGTTGGTTGTGTATGTGTGTGTGTCGCCCCGCTGACGACGCTCTCCTTCCTTCCATCCCCTCCATCTCACATGACATTGTGGCATAACATCCTAAAGTGCCGGCTGAGAAACTCCCTGTGCAAACACCCCCAGCTTGACTCTCCCCGTCCGGGCCAATTGGGGTCATCTCTGGGTTGGGGGAGTTGGAGTCGCACCCCCCTGATGCTTCGGTCCCGAGCGACACCAAAAATGCACTGCCAACGCTTTCCCCGGTGCTTTAGCTCCTCCTTCATGCCAATGCCAATGCCGAAACGACCAGCGTCATGTCCGTTTGACAGGTGCTCCAGGCACAAGGGGACAAGAAACAGAAACGCGCGTTAGCCGTCTGACAAAGAGTCGTGGTCGACAGCGGTTAGTGCGCCGGCCTTCTCCAACAGACACGCCGTCAGTCGCATCATTCGTCGCATGTCGAAACAATGGGCACAAGGAAACATGTTTTTGTTTACAATCTTTTTTTTGTTTGCTATGATGCCAACAGTCTTGTGTAAGCAAAAAAAAACTTGTATCCTGCTTGCGTAGCTAGCTACCTAATATATCACACAAAGAAGCACAGAGAAAATGGGATCTCTGCTTGTATCTCTTCTCTTTTGAAGCCATCCGGTGTCAGAGACCATAAAGCTCATGACTCAATGTACTACCACAACCACTGCTCTCGGGATTAACCATCTCCGCAAAAGGACAAAAAGAGGTGTAAGAAAACGAGTTGAGGTGTTTCTCAGGTGGTTCAAACGACAAGACTCCGGTCCATATTCATTGCGCCGAAGGGGAAAACAAAAACGAAGAAGATGCTATCGTAAATGCAGAATTGCAAACCCAACATTTCCATGCCCCAGACTCAAAAGGAAGTTGGAGAACAGAGGCGACAGAAAGAAAGAATCCACCAACTCGTACACGCAAACTGTCCATCCGCAAGACCCAAAGGCTTGTTGTGTCCAAAGGGCTGTTCCAGCGAGTGAGCAAAATGAATCTCTAAATCGTGTATCGTGCCTTTGCTGTTCTTCCAATTCTCGGCAGTATCAAGACTTGTGTAATATGCAGTAATCCAACTGATGGCAAACATTGCCAAAGGTGTATCGATACGACAAAGGAAAATAAAAACAACCAGCTTGGGGGTATATGTAGCCAACACTCGCTCGATTAGACATTGGGTAGGTTACGCGGATCCATCATGTGGTCACGCGGCGCTTGGAACGGGCCTCTGTGAAGCCCGACCGGTTCGCTACCGGAGCGTGTTGAAATCATATTCCATCCCCATCGAACCCAACGGGTTGATGTCCGTATTGGTTCTCTGCAACGCCTGAAAGTCACCCACTGTCCGGAATTGCTGCTGCTGCATGGCAAATGTGTTGGCCCGTTGGGGTGGTTGCTGTCGCATCATCATATTCTTTCCATTCATGTTTTGGCCCATGGAATTCATGCCGTTGTTCATACCGCCCCCGGGACTAAAGACGCCGTGCATGGACTGTGACTGGTCCATGCTTTGCCCGCTCAGGGTCATATTCGGGGCCGGCGACAAGCTATGAGCCATGCTGTGTTGGATGGGAATGCTGATGCCAGGAGTCATGCTCTGCAGTGTCGTCATGGGACGATGTTGTTGATGCTGATGCTGGCTCTGGTGTTGTTGCTGCTGATTATTCATCCCGTCGGGTGTCTGACCCATGGGACTCATGACCATGTTTGACATGGGACTGAAGTCCGTCGTCGACAAGCCTTGGTTGAACTCCATGCCTGGAGATACTACGCCAGGGGGTGAGCTGACATACGACGAGCTCCGGTCAGTAGGAGGCGGGCCGCTCGTGAGGGTGTTGCCGGGTTCCGTCTTGAATTCGACAGGAAACTTGCTCTCGTACTCCTCGAAGCAGACCTGCTGCTGCATGCCGCTGGATTGGCCAAAAACATCGTCGAAAAGATCAATGTTGCATGCAGTAGTGGCGCTCTCCGGAGCGTTGGGCAGCATCGGGTTGACGAGCCCGGGAAGGATGTTATGAAGCTTGCTGAGAAGGAGGGGAGTGAAATGGTGCTGCTCGTTGCGGAGAAGAGCCACAATGTTCAAAAGCTGGCCGAGATGCTCACGAGGACCAATCTCAAAGGACACGCGCGAAGCGGGTTGCATGTTGAGATACTCCGTCAAGGACGATGTGACGTCCAGCAGCTTCTCAATCTAAACGAAATACTGAATCAGTACAGATCACCAAGAGGGTGGGAAAGGGATTGACTAACCAGTCCAACACCTAGTAGGCTCATGCCCTGGTTGGAAAAGGACGAGGCCATGGACAGGGCCTCGCGGGGCACATCTAGCGAGTACTGGAAGTTCATGTTGGGATCGCTACGGCCGTTAGCCATACCGATGCGCCAGGTGAAATCCTTCAGCCACTGCTGGTTGGTGTGGAGGTCGGCAAACTGCGAGTTGTTGTTGGCCAAGACAGGCACGACCTCTCCGAACTGCTTCTGGAGCGAGGCCAGCGAGTTGGAGCAGTCATTCATCGTCTTGTTCCAGAGGTTGACGAATGTGTCGTCAAAGGGACGGAACAGGTTGACCAGGGTGACAAAGTTGTGCAGCTGGTTCGCCTGGGGGTCGTTGGGGTCGTCCGTGATGGTCGGCGCGCTCAGCGTCGCCTGCAGAGTCAGGGGTCGACCACGCTGCAGGGCATATGCCCTCTCGGTCACAAACAACAGCCAGAAAAGGCGCTTTCTGCGGGATCCTTCGGCAGTGTCCCACTCGACGTACTTCTCCTCCTTGTTCATGCCCATCATGTGAGCCAAGGTGGTGGCTTCCCGCAGGTGGTACCACGCCTTGTCGTGCGACTGCAGGGTGTAGTAGTAAGCAAAGAGGAAATAACTGGTGCACATGGCGTTGTGCGAGGGCGAATCCAGGTAGTCATAGCCCTTGCGGCAGCGGAGAGTCTCCTCGAGAAGGAGCGTTGCGGGGACGAGGTTGGCACCAGGCATTGCGTTGTAGGGATCATTGTTCCCGGGCATCAGGCCGGGGATGCTCATGCCGGGCTGGAGCATCATGAAGGCGCAGAGCGAGGTGACCAGGCAATAAGTGTCGATGCTAGTGTCCATATACAGCGTCTGCTGCTCCAGGCGCTCGCGATGGAGGATGGGCATGATGGGATACATGTGGTTAAAAAAGAAGTCGCGGCATTCCTTGACGACGTCGGGCGTGAGCAAGCCGGGAGTGGGAGCCAGGGTAGGAGCGGTGGGCGGGCTAGCGACACCATTGAGCTGGTTCTGGACCTTGGCCGAGAGGCTCGTCTGACGCTGGTTTTCACGAAGTTCGCTGATGACCTTGGCCCGGGAGCCCTTGGGGCCTTTCTTTTGAGGAATGGCGAGGTAGGTGCAGCTCAGCTGGGCTGAGGAGCAATTGCGACACGGATTAATGCCGTCGCACTTGACCTTGCGACGATGGCAGGCGTCGCAGGCCCTCTTGACCGCCGTCGACGACATGGCGATGGCGCATTCAACGTCGAGGCGGAGGTGGTGAGTGTTTGCGAGTGTCGAGGTCCGATTGCCGTTCGAATGGCAATGGACGGAGCGGTATCAATCGAGATAATATCGTCCAGCGGTCAAAAAACCATTGACAGCGCCGGTATCGATAACTGATTTGAGTTCGCGGGGAATCTGGAGAGTGCAGCACGTTTCGCGGAGACTCCAGAGAGAAATGGGTGTAGCCCTGGTTTTAATCGGCCCGTTGAGGAGAGTCGGTATGCACGCGCGATGAACCCTTGGCCTGTAGAAGCGGGGGATCTGCCACAGCACCAGCAACGGAGGGCTGGATGCGTAAATGTCGAATTAGAGGCGGCTCAACAGGTTGTTCGACCAGCGATTAATCGAGGTCGAGGGAATGAGAGGCGATCGAAGGTGCAGAATTGCTGAACTGGTGATGGTCGAAAGGTTTGCAGGACGAGAGTTTTTGCGAGGAGCGAAGGGGTGGCTAGACAGGAAATGGGCCCCGTCCTCTCTGTTTGGCGTGGTGTGGCCTGGTCGGTCTTTGGTATGAATGGTGTGGTGAGTGGAGAGAAAAGGGGAGACTCGGGTGTGTGGGAAGGGAAGAAGGGGGGAGGAGAGGGAGATTTGATGGGGGACGAAGACGAGGCAGAGGCAGAAACAAGAGGGCCTGGGGAAGAACAAGAACACACACACAGTAATCACGGCAGACGAGCAGGCACAGGGCACCAGAACGGGACTGGAGGTGGTGTGGTGGGCGCTGGGCAAAGGCCGGGGATTGCTGGCGTTTGGCTCGAAAGGGCATAGGCAGAGCAGGGGAGGCGGCGGTGGGAGAGGGGGAAATGAAATGAAAAATGGTGTGGGTGCATCGCTCCAAACAAGGAAGGTCGACTAGCCTAACCCACAGCCCGGCTAGCGGGGAGTGACCAGACTGCCGCAGCTGATTTCGCCCGCAAGAACAGGTAACTAGCTACCTTTCGTACCACAGTTACGAAGCACTGACCTGACCTCTCCCCTCGTGCCTGCTCCAGTGCTCTCCCATCACGGCTGAAGTTGACCTTTCTTTCAATTTCAATTTCATGACCTGACCTTCCCTTCATGCGCGATGCTATCCCAAACCTTTTGGCTGCGAAACACAACAGTAGCATCGTTTGAACCGACCAGAGGGATACACAAGTCATGATGAAACCGGATCGAGTGCCTATTTAGTCGCTGACAGGTGACAGACGCGTAACAGCGACCCATGGCACCGGTGATAATGCAAACAAAAGCACAGGACACAGGAGAAGTCGTATCCCGGTTCAGCCACCCTCTCGTGCTTTCTTCTGTCGCAGTGTGCTGCCCGCCTGCTGAATTACTTCTTCATGCACTACCCGACATGTGCACCGTACCTTAGTCCGTACGTGCAACTGCCTGATACTTGCTTTGCCTGCAAACGCAAGGAATGCTGCGTCCGCTCGACCAAGCGCTCCTTCGCACCGTCGGCCAGCGAGCCCCAAAACAGACATGGAATCCGTCCTGCCGCTAGCCGGACGGGGAATGGGCGGAGCAGCGCCTTGCATCTCAGTCTGGCTCAGTCTGCCTCCGCGTCATTGGTTCCTGGCAGCATAAACCGGGGACAAACTCCACCCAGACACCCGATTAGGTTGGGGTCTAGAAAAAGAAGACTTGTCCTCTGTCAGCTCAAGTGCTGCAGATCCTACTTATGTCACCCATTAGTGACAACCACTGCCAGTGTTAGACCCAACAGGCGGTCGGAGTGCCCGGAAGCCCTAGAAAATCTTGCTGTTGACAGTGGAGAAGCAGGCGTCTTCACGGGTTGGACAGAGCCTCGGCCGCTGCGTTCGCCCACGGCATCGCGTTATTTGCCCTCGAGTCATTGCCTACTATCACGGTACAATGACGAGAAGCCTGGTTCTCTCACGGCGTGCTTTAGTTCCCTGGTTGCTGCTAAAACCATTGTTTGTTAGTGCCGGGCGCTGTCGCCGTCTCATGGCGTGCTGCTGCTGCTGCACATGCGGCAATCCGGCATCTGTCAGCGTCCCCTTCTGCGGCCTGCCTCATCACCACCGCCATTTCTCAGCTCTGACATCCCTTCAGCTTCTGCCAGGAATGGCACGCATGAGGCTGCTGACAGACAGACAGACAGACAGACAGACAGACAGATGTCCATCTATCGCATCAACTTTATTCGACTCTCATCTGTGTGCCATGCGTGTCCGCGCGCACGGCATAAAAAGGCGTGCAGTCAGCACCGCCCAACTGGTGATCTGCTCAGCTCGCCGATCCGTGCCTGTACCACCTGCACGTAACGTTGTCTTGGTCCCTGTTCGTATGTACGAAGCACTCCGGACATTGGTCGAGAACAAGCCACCCTTGACTGATCTGAGGCACACACGCCCAGGGAGCCAGGCAAAGCCAGGGACATTTCGTATGCGAAACATCCCCAATCCTGGGCCCTCGTCAGCAATCCCCGGCTTCAGGGTGGGCTTCCCCAGCCAATCATCTGGCTCCTCTGCCGTCAATAAACCGTTGCTTTTTGCATTGGACCATTCCGCACTACTTCCAACCTGTTCTAGCGCGCCCACCGAGACCTCTACACTAGGATGCTTCCGTGCTTCGGTCGGTGCGAGAGAGCTCGTCGCGCTCTGGTGTTGGGGCGTGCCAGTGGCCCTCAAGAGCGAGCCTCGAGCTCAGCTTGCTCGTTACGTTACCTGTTGCTTGCACAAGACTCTGACATATGTGCTTTTATATATCTGCCGTTCTCACCTGCGCAATCTCGTTCTGCAAGGCAGACATTATTTTTGGACGACACCGCCGCGGGTTGAGTGACTCGATCGATGCCGTGTCCAACAAGCCCGAGATCACTCACTCGCCTCAGCAAGCGAGTACAGCCACCCCGGACAGGTCTTGGGATCAAATCGGCACGGCAACTATTCTCCCTGCCCTCCTCGGGGGGCACGCCCAGCGCTGCAACAGTCGTACAGAGCAAGGCCCCTTTTCATGACAATTTTGTCGCCGGGCTATTTGCCTTTTCGAGCCCCAGGCGGACGGACCAATCCCTCCTGTGCAACTCGTTCGAAGATGACAGGAAAAGCAAGCGAGACCCTGCGTCCCGTCAACTCGCGGCCCGGCAGCTGTCATGGGCGAAATGCACACACTGCATGTCGACCGGTGCCGTGCCATCATCGGTATGCCAGGGCACCACCCAAACGCGAATTAAACTCCGCACCAACTCCGCCCCATCGCCAACCACCACCCCGACCTCGTTCCTTCCCCCAGACGACATGGGATGTCAACGCGGGGGAGAAGTGGATACGCTCGAGAGCATGCGTGTGGTCCTGCGAGACGAGTGTCAAGCAAGAGAGGACCGTTAACTGTGTGTGTCTCGAATAAGAGCTCCCCCTCATTCTGTGGCAGGCGAGCTAGCTAGGCAGGGCCAGGCTTCGGTCCGATAAGGCACGCGGCGTTTGGTGGTTCGAACCTCTGTGCTTTTGCTTGGGAGGAAGCTCTATCTGCCGTATCGCACGAGATCAGCCGCTGGGCGATTGCGAGTTGCTTGTCGAATCGAGTTAACGTCGATGGAGATGTCGAGCTATAGCGGCGGCCTTGGGTGCTTCTCCCCGTCTCGGCGGATTGAAGCGTCGACAAAAAAACAGGGTCTGAGCGAGCGACAAGGCTGGGCTCCGGAGCCCCGGCAGTGAGCGGGACTTTTTGCACAGCTCCACGTCTCGGGATCGGGAACGCTGCGCGATGTCACGGCGACATTAGGGGGGCATGGATGACAGGTGAGAGAGAGAGCACGCAACAGAGATCGAGGATCCACCGCCTTCTTCTACTACTGTGGCGTCGCACATGTCGAACTCTTTTTTTCGCTTCTCCTTTCCGAACCTGGAGGATCGCCCCGGGGTCGCGTCGTCAAAGCGAAATCGCAAGCGTGCCAGAAATCTCCGGCTGCCGAGCCTCAGTATCCTCTAAGGACCTTGCTCGCCACGTTCCTGCATGAGCGCCTGACAAAGGGCCGAGATGCATAGGCGCCACCTAGGCCCCAGATAGACCGTGCATAGTCCTCCGCCATCTCGGGGCTACTCGATGTCAGCTTGTCAAGGTAAGATGATCATGATGTTTCTTGTTTCCCACGCGCTCATGGGAAGATCGACACCGTCAGGTCGGAGGCGATATCAGAGGGGGCGTCCAGAAAACAACGCAGTCGCATTGGCGTGCGTGATGCACGCCATGGGATGCAAGGTACGGGGTAAGCTGAGCTGTCAAAAGCGTGATATCCGAGGTAGGTCCGTTTCGCTTCTTGGAGATCTTGATCGTCCTTTGGGCTTCTATGCAAATAGCGATATACCACCTTGTGGTTCTTAGTAAAAAAACAGAGATGATCATGACAATACTCATTATATAGTCGCTATTATATGCCGCTAGGGAGGTGTGATCAATGCCACGTCCAAGACCACATGCTACGCTTGTACATGCATGCATTCGTAGCCTCCCGGTATCCAAGCCAAGCTTATCCAAAGAAAGTAGCTGTAAACGCCGCAGGAGCTCCACATTACGAGATCCCATATGCAAAAAGAAGAAGAAAAAAAGATCCTCACGATCCAAAGCCAACATCCCTCCCTATACTTTGTACATCGACCACGCCTCTCCCCCCATCAAACTCCGCCACCGCCTCCGCCCATTGCCCCTGGCTACCCGCTCGCCCCCTTCTTCTTGGGCAGGTACCGCACCCAGGGCGCGCAGTTGCCCGCGTCCCCCTTCTCGCCGAGGTCCTGCGCGGGCACGAACTCGCCCGTCTGCAGGCTGCCCTTGACAAAGTAGACGTACCACACCTCGTGCAGCACGTCCCTCCGGCCGGAGCACCGCAGGACGACCCGCCCGCCGCTGAAGCGCTCGAGCGCGGCGCGCACGTCGGCGAGCGGGTAGCGCCTCGTGGCGTGGGGCGCGACGCCGGCGCGCTCGAGCGCCGTGTAGGTGTCGAGCGTGCGGAAGAGGGCCGCCGCGCGGGAGAAGTAGTCGACGGCCTCGGCGCCCGGCCTGTAATACGCGCTATCGCTGCCGTCGGTGTGGTCGCCGTCGTCGCCGGCGCCGTAGCACGACGGCGACAGCGTGTTGATGCACGTGCCGTGCTTGTTCCACTCGTGCGCCCAGAAGTGCGCGTTGGTCGAACCGGGCGCCGAGGGCCAGTAGCGGTGCATGAAGGACAGCAGGTCGTCCTGGCCGTGGGAGGCCAGCAGGGCCGGGATGTCGCTGTAGCGCGGGGACATGCCGCAGAAGGAGTCGTAGGTGCCGTCGCAGAGGTCTGGCCTGGTGCAGCCGCGGGACGGACGGGTTAGTCTTTCGGTGTCGTAAAATGTTGAGACCATAAGAAAGAAAGATTGGCAAGGGGGGTTCCTACCATAGCCCGTGGATCGTCCAGTCCTCCTCCGCGCCGGGCTGGTGCGCCTGGCTGTCCCAGAACTGCGTCAGGAGCAGGCGCCCGCCCGGGTGGACGAAGCAGCACGAGTCGCCGCTGGGGGGGGTGCTGTTGCGGCAGCTGGTCGGCCCGTCGATGGGGCACGAGGGCGCGGCGCTCAGCGGCTCGTAGTACGAGGGCGCGACGTGCTGCTGCTGCTGCTGCTGCTGCGTGCCACCGAGGAGGTGGGCGAGCGGGTTGGGAATGTTGTTGAAAGGGCCGGATAGCAGAGGCGACTGCGAGAGGAGGTTGCCTGCATAGGCGAGGATGGCGCGCAGCGTGGTCGGCTCCTGGGGCGCCATGGTCGGGACCGTTCGTAGGGTGGCGTAGTCTGTTCGTCCTATGTGTGCTTGTATAAGAGATAATTCACGGAGCCATCGTCGGCAAAGCGGTGGTCGATGGGCTCTTTTTGTTGCAAGGGCAGCAATCGTCGCATCGAGAAGTCGTCGTCGTCGAGGTTGGAGGGAGGCTTGTGACGGACGTCCCGCTTTTAGCCAAGCCCTCGGATAGCTTGCCCCACGTTTAGACATCATTGGTCTGGGGGCCTGGGGTACAACTCCTTCACGTGGTATCAGCTTGGATCTTTGGACATGACATGTGCGACAATTCGAGAATTGAAGTGCCATCTGAACAAGCTTACTTCTTCTGAGGCGTTGACTCTATTGTTTGTCATGTTGGCCTTCTATTCTTGAGGGATAGTCTTCATCCTTGCACATTTGCTATATTGTGGGAATTTCATCTTGTCCTCCATTAATTCCTTGTTGTTGTCATTGAGAATTAAGTTGATTCTACAGGTTATATTTATATTATTTCTATGCAGTTGTGCTCGCAGCATCTATATAATATGGAGATGAACCCTTGACATATCATGCCTCGTTGTGTGTCCGCATCCCAAGTTGCATTCCGCGCAGCATCTCATACAGAGCATAAGCTCCTGGATCAGGTAACCTCTGGTGCTGATCCTCACTCACGTATGTGGCCCGACCCAGCTTCGGTTTAAGGTCTCTTGACCCTTCCGCTTTCTCCTCGGCGACCTTCACCGCAGCCGAGAAATCCTGGCTCTGGGCAAACGACTGTACGAACGGAAGCAGCACGTCCATGACTGTCCTGTCGCCTTCCCTGGCGCTGGTGTAGGCCTTGAGGCTTTCTGCTGCCGAGACGAGTGCGCCCGAATATAGCTCGGCCGACATGCCATCCTTGCTTTTGGCCGCCTGGAGTTCGCTGGCGAAGCTGCTCAGGAATATGCCGAAGATGGCGCCCAGCGTGCCGCCCATATCGTCGACGGCGTCGATGATGGAGAAGAGTGCCTTGAATACAGATCCCTCCTCTGCGATCTTGGACCTGTCTAGGAGGGCAACGATCGCCTCGCCAACCCCCTTGACGGCTTCTCCGCAGTCACCGTCGCCCATGACCATGTCCCACTCTGTGAGTCTGGGCTCGGCAGCGATGGCTGTTTCACATCCCCGACGGAGTACGGCATCAAGAAGTTTCGGGTCAACTAGGAAGACCAATTAGCAACTACAATATGAGAATTCTGGTAGTGTTGAAGGCTTACTGCGGATGTCGTTCTCGGCTGCAATGGCCTTCGTTATGTCGTTCGCATTGGTAACAATTTTCTGGTCGACCGAATCGTCCTGCGACACTGCCGGCTGGTAGTTATTAGGCCAGTGAGGTGCGGAGGTGTGTGAGTCTAGATATCCCAGCAGGTCCGTGGTCTGCAGCCCAGCATCTCTGGCAGCTTGAGTCAAGTTTGATAGTGAGATTGAGAAACCTGGGCCGTTGAGTGATGTCTCGAACGTGCCGCAGAAGATCCGGACCGGCTTGATATTCCACGTTTTCTCTGAATGAGGCGTGAGTCACAGTATTGCATCCTGTGCTTGGATTGAGTCTGTCTCGTACCTAATTGTATCAGAACTTCATCTGACAGAGCACCGAGCTCAAGGAGGGAGAGACCGCCGTAGTTGTTAATGAGCAGAACGACCTCGTCATCTTTGTTGAACTGTACAAACGCCCTCTCCTTATCAGACTGGTCGCACAGAAGCTTCAAACAGTGGCTGATTATGTCTTCCACGGAGGGGAAAGGAGACAGCTTTTGAACACCCTGAAAGATTGTCAGCACGGGTTGATGGGATTATTAAACAAGTCGTGCAACCTACGGGCTCATTGTGTATGCCGGCACCGATGACACAAACATCCTTGCCGATGTGCTCGTGATTCCTCCTCCCGGGAACGTGGCAGTGGTCTAACGCTGATCCGATAGATACGAGGCTATCGTTGACAGCTTTGCCAATCTTTACACACTCATCGAACGAAGAGCCTGCCGTAGCAGCAGCGCCGATGATTTTCAGAGCTTCGATGGTCAGTTTCATCTATTAGAGAAACGGGACGCAAGGCTCCACTTACTGATGACATGGCCCGGCATGCCCCTGCGTCCGACACGGATCTCGCTCCGCGGGATGGAGACGTCGTCCGTCGCAGGGAGCACTACGACGTTCTTGCACAGGCCCAAGGCTTTCGCCCTCTCGGCCGCCAGGCCAAAGTGCAGCTTATCCCCGGTATAGTTGGTGATGAGCAGAATGGTGCCCTCCGTCGAGGGACAGGACTTGACCGCCGTGAGGACCTGCTTCATGCTGGGAGAGGCAAATATGTCGCCGCACGCGACGCCGTCGAGGAAGCCATGGCCGACGTATCCCGCCCAGGCAGGCTCGTGGCCGGAGCCACCGCCGCTGATGAGGGTGACCTTGGATGAGCGGTGATGTTTGTGATAGACTACCCGTTCGCTTTCGACGAGAGCTAAATGCGTGTTGGCCCGGACCAGAGCACGGAGTGCCCGGGGCACCAGCTGGTTCGCTGCAGTCTCTGGGAAATAGTGCTTGTCAGACATACTTGGCGAGGTGCAGAAGGACCCAGAGCGAGGGTATCGTACGAGGTTTCTGCTTTGGGGTATGGCCTCGCTATATCGTATCTGGGCATGGGAAACGGACAGCTATGTAGACGGGGGGAAAGCCCACGACGAAGCCCAGAAGGTTCAGTTTACCGGAAATGGCCATTGCGGCCTCCGCCGGTCAAGAATCTTCGTCGCCTGTAAGGAAGCACGCATCGACGTCGCGCGCCAGGTACCCGAAACCCGGAGACGCTGCTCACTGCCGGTCCCAGCTAAGCGATTAAGCGAACGATCTCCTCGAGGGAAGCGAGGTGGCTGCATGCCGCGTCTCGGGGTGCCCTGGTTTCTACGCAGTTAATATGACGATGCAAACGCTAGTGAGGGTGTGGGGGAAGCCACTTCGGCCCACCAAAATGGTGAGACTCTTTCTGCCAGCCTGACCATTTCTCCCCAGATTGCTTCCCCCATCCCCGTCACGCGCGTGGCATCCATGTTTTGTTTGATGATTCAAACCCCCATGATCATCTACCAGTTCTATCGATTCCATCGAGTGTCCCGTTCCGGGGCCTGCTGCGTCGATTGAATGCGCTGAGCGATGGATGGCGGTGCCGTCCCCGACACCGGGTCCGGCCAGGCGCACGCTGCACCCGTCGCGAAGAAGCCAAGGAAGAGCCGCAGCCGCGGGCTCAGGACTCGGAATGGATGGTACGCTGGCACCACAGATCCTCCCCTCTGTGCATCGCGAGGAGACACCTTAGGGCACCCAGCTGACATGGCATGCGTGAGCTAGCCTGACTTGCAGGAAGCGGCACAAGAAGTGCGACGAGCAGGGTAAGCATCTCCCGGCTCTGGATGCATGCACTTGATGTGCTGACCGGGGCGCAGCACCGATCTGCGGCCCGTGCCAGTTTGGAAGCCGTACCTGCGTCTATGCGCCTGACCAGCCCTCCTCACATCAGGTCCGCACCGAGACGGCGGTGCGTCTGCCGCCCATCTCTAGCGTGACCCAGCCGCACGAGGGCCGCTCTCCCTTGCCCATCGCCGAGACCTCGTTCCTCGGCGACCCGCTGTCACCCGATCGTTTCACCACCGACACTGTCCCGGCCCCGCCTGGAGAGCAGCTCCGGCAGCGGCAGAGCGCCGAGACCCACCCGGCCCCGAGCTTCCTCCTCGACCCGGTCGGCGCCGTCGGCCCGGTCGCGCACTTCCCACATGTCGCCGCCGAGAGCCAGGCTTCGACTTTCGGTTACTCGCCGGACACCGGCTCCATAACGTCGGACCAGCTGTCTACCAACCGGGCGTCTACCAAGTGGCTCGATCTGCTCGCGCAGGATGCGGCACTGGCTGACACGACGTTCTCTCTTGCACCCACCCCTCACCCCCGTCACAGCCCCGAACGAGAACTAGGCGATGGTGTCGATCGCACGCGTGCAGCCCTAGAAGGCTCTAGTGAAGCACTGAGGTCCCAGTACGCCTGGCAGGAAGCTCAGGACATTGTGCTACTCCCGCATGAACGGACGCTATTTCACAGCTTTGTCGACAAGGCGGCGTCATGGGTAAGATCTTCTGTAAGGTTTACAGATCGAGGTGGCTGACGGGGAGAATAGCTGGATATCTTGGATCGAGAAAGACACTTTGCAACTTATGTGATACGACTAGCGGTATGGTGCCATTGTTCATTACTCCGGGCAAGATTCGCTATCGCTGACATTCCATGGCAGCTACGGAACCTGGGCTTGATGAAAGCCATCCTCGCTGTCAGCGCCCGACACGCAGCCGCCCAGGAAGATGTCGACAGCGGAGATCTGCCACGAAGGGACTCGTCGAAGGGAAACCTTGCGATACAGTACTACTACGAGACATTGCATTACCTGCAGACTGCTCTGCAGTACTCGTCCTACACCTTCTCCGAGGAGATCCTCGCAACAGCCATCATCATCTCAACCTATGAGATGCTGGACGAATCTGCCTCCAACTGGAGACGTCACCTCAAGGGCGTCTTCTGGATCCAGCGCAGTCAAGATGTCAACGGAGCTAGCGGTGGCCTCCGCCAGGCCGTATGGTGGGCTTGGCTGCGACAGGATATCTGGGCTGCCCTGCGTGAGAAGAGGAGGTGCTTCAGTTTCTGGGCCCCTGTCAAGGATTTCCCTGAGCTGCAACAACACGAAATCGCGTGTTACTCGGTCTACCTCCTCAGCCAGGCTGTGAACTTTGCGGCGATGGCGCAGGCGGACCAGGACCAGGAGCGAATGCGTGACAACGGAGGACGCCTGACGGACGACCAACTACGAAGGAAGGGTGACGAACTACTTGCGATGTTTGATAGGTGGGAGTCTTGTCTTGGGCCGCAGTTTAGGCCTTTGCCAGCCCCAGAGCTCGCGTCCACCAACGTCGAACAGGCCCGCTTCCAGCCAATCTGGATACACCCGCCAGACTTCGCAATCGCAACCATGATCTATAGCTTCGCCAAGATTCTAGTCACCCTTCTGCGGCCTGCTGATCCTGGATTCGGTCGATATGCGAAGATGCGGGTATGGTATCACAGGAATGCTTTGATATTGGACTGGTCAGCTGACAGAGCACGCAGAAAACCCTTTCGGCTGCCGTAGACACAATATGCGGGATCACGATCACGCTGAGGGAGCCAGGCTCGCAGGTCATAGCTGCACGTTGCCTGTTCGGAGGTAAATTGTTTCACTTGTTCTATTATATATTATCTGAAGGAATGCTAATACACATGGCTTGTGCAGCCGGGCTTTGCGTCCAAGATCAAACAGAACGCGATGCCATCTTGTCATTGATGAACACATGTGAAAAGCGCAGTGGCTGGCCCATGGCGAGCATACGCAATGATCTATATAGCGAATGGAGGATCATCGACGGCGAGGACTCGTTGTGATGCCCGATGCCTCTCTTCTTCCCCTCGGCCTGCATGTGCTGGGAAGCTGATTTTCTATTGTCTCCATAGCGATGGCAATTGTGGTTGTACACATATCTGGTATTACGAATTATGAACTCTGCGCTGCTTTTGCCGCGGATTTGTTTTCGTACTCGTGGATGGCCCTGACCTTTTCTGCAGAGGCCGAAGTCTGTGCCGCGTTAGTATCCTCCGTTACGCACCAGCTAGGGACTTGCCAATGCTGTTCATGGCCAGTGAACTTACAGGGTCGAATTCATAGCCCAGCCACTCCTTCACCAACCTCCGCGCCAGCTCGACGCCGACAACGCGCTGGCCCAGGCAGAGGACCTGAGCGTCGTTGCTCTTGATCGCCCTCTCCACGCTGAAGCTGTCGTGCGCGGTCACGGCGCGGATGCCGGGGACCTTGTTGGCGCTGATCGCGACGCCGAGCCCGGTGCCGCAGATCAGGATCGCGCGGTCGGCCTCCCCCCTCGCGACGAGCTCGGCCGCGGCGATGGCCAGGTGCGGGTAGGGCGTCTTGTCGCTCGCCGAGGCCGGGCCGACGTCGACGACTTTGGCGACCCGCGGGTCCGCGCCCAGGTCCTTGATGATGGTGGCCTTGTAGTCGAAGCCGGCGTCGTCGCCGCCGATGGCGATGCGGTAGGTCTTTTCTGCGCCGACGGAGCCCATCTGTCCGGAAAGTATGTGATGTGTGATGTGTGAGGCGAGTGGTGGGTATGGAGTCAGGGCCGATAATTAGCAGGCTGTCAGGTTGGAGTGAGTGATATGTATTTTACGGATTATGAGCTGAGATCAAACCGGGACTTTCCATCTTTGACAGGCTTTACGCCCTGCAGACCGATGCCGACGCACATGCAATGGATGTGGTGTCGCTGGGTCTATCCAGTGCGGCTCGGGGCTTGCTGGGATGGAGTCTCGCGCGGTTAGGGGCAATGCCCCGTGCCGGGCCTGGCAGGACACCCTCCCCGCGTCGAGGCATTGCACGCATAACCTGCCCCGGAAACAATCCATGTTCGGTCACCAGACGATCGTACGACCCCCGGGAGAACCCCGGTCTGGCTGGTGGGGAGGTGATCGTCGTTGACGGCAATAGGTCCGTCGCCTTTTCCACGAGTTTGCTCCGGAGGTCGAAATGCGCTGCCGACTCCTTGGAAAGTACCCGGGGACTCCCCCTCTCCATCAGGCGAGCCGGATCGATTTCGTAGACTCGGCATTAGATGCTGACCGGCCGCACAACCATTGCTTCACACATCACCACTCATCCTGGTAGTGACTATCAGACAGACGACACGATGACCTGGCAACAAGAGAACAAGACGTATCAGATCCTCAAGGCGGCCGAGGAAGGCAAATATGGCGTGGTCGCTGCTATTGCGTAGGTCCTCACCATCAGTGACTGTCTCAAACGGTCCTTGAACTCATGCGGATACGCAGATACAATATTGAGCATGTAGTCGCCTTCATCCGCTCCGCCGAGAAGAAGCGCTCGCCCTTCATCATCCAGTTCTTCCCCTGGGCCATCACCGCGACCGACGGCCTGCTCGTGCACGCCGCGGCGCACGCCGCCCGCAACGCCTCCGTCCCCGTCGCGATCCACCTCGACCACGCGCAGGACGAGGCGATGATCCGGATGGCGGCCGACAGGCTGCCCTTCGACTCCATCATGGTCGACATGTCGCACTACGAGATGGCGGAGAACCTGGCCAAGACGCGCGAGCTGGTCGAGTACTGCCACGCGCGCCGGGTCACGACCGAGGCCGAGCCGGGCCGCATCGAGGGCGGCGAGGACGGCATCGCCGACACGGCCGACCTGGAGGGCGCCCTGACGACGCCCGAGCAGGTCGAGGACTTTGTCGCCACGGGCATCGACTTCCTCGCCCCGGCCTTTGGCAACGTCCACGGCGAGTACGGCGCCCGGGGCCCCGTGCTCGAGTACGACAGGCTGGAGCGCATCGCAAGGGAGGTCGCCGGCCGCGTGCGGGTGGTGCTGCACGGGACCAACGACTTCCCCGAGGACGTGATGAAGAGGTGCATCGCGCACGGCGTGAGCAAGGTCAACGTCAACAAGCTCGTGCTGGATGACTACCTCGTGTTCCAGAAGGAGAAGGCGCCCAAGCTGCCCCTGACGACCGCCCTGGAGCAGGGTATCGAGGAGACGCAGAGGTTAGTGGAGTGGCAGATGGATGTCTGTGGCTCGACTGGCAAGGCGTGATCCAACCATATAGAATAATAGAATGATTTACGGAAGGGCTCCTTTAACAGTACTGCATGATGGCGACGGATCATTGTCTTGGCTATGAGGTGCGTCCGCATAGTGATTGAGGGGGTCGAAACATTCCTGTGGCGTACAGCTGGTGTGGCTAGGAGATTATCATATCTGGGCCAGTTTAGACCTTTTCTCGTGCAGGCTTCCCGAGCCATACAAGGGTTGACTATAGAGCTGCCTGACTACCAAGTACGAGGGTCTAGTGTTCAAATATACAAGATCGAGATCTGGGTAGTGGATGTACAAGTCATGTTCCATTGATGCTCTATCATGATAAAAACGCCACTATGCTTCCGGGAAACAATATTCTTCATTCCTTTTTTCTTTTACCAGCCACCGACGATACCAGCGATCGGGATGTCGATACCAGTGGTATAAGTAGCAGTATCGCTCAGCAGGTACACGTACGCACCGCCCAGCTCCTGCGGCAGGGCCAGCCTCGGCATGCCCCCGTAGTACTTCATCTTGGTGCCCCAGTCCGGGCTCGTCTCGACGTAGTAGGTCAGCGCCGTCTTGACGTAGCCGGGGCTGATCGAGTTGACGCGGATGCCGTACTGCGCCCACTCCATGGCCAGCGTGTGCGTCATGTTGCGCACGGCGGCCTTGGTGCCGCCGTAGGGCGCCGAGGGCGCCGCCCGGTTGGGCCGGTAGCTCGTCATGCTGGCGGTGAAGACGATGCTGCCCTTGGTCTTGAGCTCGATGAACTTGCGCGCGGCGGCGGTGGCGCAGATCCACGCGCCGAACACGTTGAGCCGGAACAGCTTCTCGACCTGCTCCATGGTGAAGTCGAGCGCCGGCTGGTGCTTGGTGGCGCCGGCGTTGGCGACCATGCCGTCGAAGCGGCCCTTGGCCTCGGCGATCTGGTCGACGGCCGACTTGACCGACTCCTCCGAGGTGACGTCGGTGTGGATGAACTCGAGCCGGCCGGGGAACTTCTTCAGCATGGCCTGGAAGTCCTCGCCGGGCTGGGAGATGTCGAGCGAGTAGACCGTGCCGGCGCCGTTGTGCAGGCAGACCTCTGCGATGCCCAGGCCAATGCCTTGGTTTGCACCGGTGACTGCAGACAAAAATGTCAGAATTTGTATCTCGAAAGCGCTCCTGTCTAAGAGAATTCACAGGCTTACCGGCAATGACCTTGTCCTTGACACCCACCTGCCAGTCATGGTTGGGGAGAGGCATAGTGCTGGGGTAGTTGTCGGGAGACTCGAGAGAACCCATCGTGAATGATTGTAGCTTTTGAGAATGTCTGGTGGAAAAAGGTAAGGGTATTGGCAAAGGTATGCAAGATGCTAAGCTTGGTCGACGAAGAATGGGGATACTATGTGGTCAGAAACAGACTTTCGAGCAAGGGTAGACTCGATTTAAAAAGGACCCTCCCAGAAGTATGGGCGTGCATGAATCTGTCACAAGTCCGGGGCAAGCTCTGCATGACATCAAATGTCCCGGCAAAACGCGAGAGCGTGCCCGCCCTCCAGAGGATCCCCGTGCCGGGCCAGTGTGCTCCCGGGCGGTTCTATGTGGTGTGCCGTCATACCGGACTGTTCTGGGGCAAACGCGGCTCGGGGAATGCCCCGTGTCGGGGAAGCCTCGGCACGGGGCAATTCCCACAAGATTTGTGAGTCCCTCAAGGTTTACGTCGATTCGAGAGACTAAAATAGTCGAACTAGAGGCATGGGACGACCCCGGGACCCCAGATGCAACCCACACAGAAGTCTAAGCGCAAGACCCCATCTCATTTTTCGCCCCATCGCCATCATCCCATCCGAGAACTTGGAACTCTCCTCTTCCGGGGCAATGCGGAGATGTACGGCGTAGTACCATGAAATATTATCGCGAGGCTGGACTATAATAGGCGGGATCATCCATCCTTTCTCCAAGTCTCATGTCTTGTCCTCGTCATACTCCGGACTGCAACCCTTTGCTTTCGGCCATCCATCTTTCTCTTGCCCGATCATCAGACCCAGGAGCAGATATTGAGCAGCCAGAGCCTTGTGACTTTGCGTTCCATCTTTCAAAATGGCCTCTTACCTCCCCCAGTCCAAGCAACACGAATCAGAGCACCTCGAGATGCCGTGCAAGGATGACCTCGAGAGTCCTGACAGCGACAAGGCTGCCGAGCCTGTGTCGACCAACGGCTATGTCCCCGATACTGAGGAAGAGAAGAAGCTTGTTCGCAAGATCGACATGTACCTACTCCCCATGATCTTCCTCATGTATCTCTGGTCGTACATGGATCGCACCAAGTAAGTGGTCCGACATTTGTTGCTCTCAACCTTGGGCCATTGACCGGTTTCTGACTTTCGTCTTCCATAGCATCGGCAATGCCAAGGTTGCTGGCATGACCGCAGACCTCGGCATGGACTCGAACCAATACTCCGTCACACTTGTTGTCTTCTTCGTCGGCTACGTCGTTTTTGAAGTTCCTTCTAAGTACGTATAGAACACCCAACGTCTCTCAACAACTTCAACTGTTTTAGTCCAGCCAAACTCACAATTGACCGCAGCATGGTTCTTGCCCGTACCCGACCCAGCCGTTTCCTTCCCACGATCATGTTCCTATGGGGCTGCGTCACTGTCGGCATGGCTTTCATCCACAGCTATGAAGCTCTCGTCGGCCTGCGTGTGGTAGTCGGCATCCTCGAGGCTGGGTTCGCCCCCGGTGTGCTCTTGACCCTTTCCTCGTGGTACAAGAAGGCCGAGCAGTCCAAGCGCTTTGCGGTCTACATCTCAGCAGCCATTCTGTCCGGCGCCTTCGGTGGCCTACTTGGCGGTGCCATCACGGAGGGCCTCGAAGGTGCTCATGGCCTTCGCGGTTGGCGCTGGCTGTTCATTGTTGAGGGTGTCTGTAAGTGTCTAGCCTTTGAGGACTCTGTTCTTTATACATGAACTTGCGCCATTCTAACCTAGTTCTCTCAACAGGCACTGCTGCTGTGTCCATCCTCGCAGGCTTCATCCTGCTCGACTTCCCCGCCAACACCAAGAAGTTCTCCGCACGGGAGCGAGAGTTGGCTATCCAGAGACTTCTCCACGACAATGATGCCCAGGATTCTGAGGATCAGCACACTCCATCTCATTTGGAGGCCCTGAAGCTGGCCCTCGGCAACTGGAGGACCTGGATCTTTGTCGTCGGCTACATGGTGAGTTCGGACTCTGATGTTCTGAAATATAGTCCATACTAATCAGGTCTCTCAGGCCATCGTCGGATCCTCCACATTGTCGTACTTCTATCCCACGCTCGTCCAAGGTCTCGGCTACACCTCCCATATGGCACAGTACATGACCATCCCCATCTACGTCGCTGCCTTTGTCTGCACCGCCGTCACGGGCTACTTCATGGACCGCATCCCCCAGAAGCGCGGCCTGGTCCTCGGCTGCTGGATGACCGTCGCCATGCTCTGCTCCGTCGTCATCTGCGCGGTGTACAGCCTCAAGGCCCGGTACGCGCTCCTCGTCATCATGGCCTCGGGCCTCTGGGCGTCCAACGGCCTCGCCCTCTCCTACACGTCCTCCTCGTTCTCGGGCGCCAGCAAGGAGGTCCGCGCCATCACGCTCGCCTTCGTCAACGCCATGGGCAACCTCGCCCAGATCTACGGCGCCTACCTCTTCCCTTCGAAGGATGCCCCCAAGTACCTCATGGGCTTCGGTGTCATCAGCGGTCTGTGCTTCACGGGTGTCTTGGCTTACATAGCGCTGCATATCGTTCTGAGGAAGTGGCCCATTAAGCGATAGAGGGGTTTGCTCTGGTATCATACTCATCTCCTCAAGTGAATGCACGACGCAGGCCTTGAGATGACAAAAAGTTTGACTAGATAGAAAAGTCCGAGATCCTTCTCACCATTCCGAACCTAGTGTTTACGTGCCAACACTACTCTAGACTTAGTGCTGATCCAAGTGGTGATCACATGCGACTGTCTTACAAACAGGGCCCACAAACGAGCCGTAAGCTGGCATGCTTGGCAGTTGGAGAGAGGACTGGCCCGTCCTCCAAAACTAACCTGTAATCCCCCAGGTATTCCATGAAATGAGTGACAGACTGTGCAGTTGAAAACAGAACCGGACTGCCTCCCCCAACTATCCATGACTATGTCGGCATCTGCATCAAACAAACCACAACCAGGGATTTACTCCCAGGACGAGGCGTTCTGGGACAACTACCTCAAAGGACGCCCCAGAGCCCCGGACAAGTTCTTCGACCGCATATTCAAATACCACGAAGAGCATGGCGGAAAGTTTGACACCGTGCACGACATAGGCGCCGGCATCGCACCTTATGCCGCCAATCTCCGGGGCAAGTTCAGGCACGTCATTCTCTCAGACATCGCGCCGGGGAACATCGACATCATCCGCCCACGCCTCGGCGGCGATGGCTTCAGCTACCGCGTCTCCAGGGCCGAGGAGGCCGACGACATCGAGCCCGCCAGCATAGACATGGTCTTCGCCAGCACCATGTTCCACTTCTGCGATCAGAAAGCGGCCATGGACGCCGTGGCGAGGCAGCTGCGGCCCGGCGGCACTTTTGTTTGCTGTCTCATCGGGGGTGCACAGTTTGAAGACCCGGCCCTCCAGGATCTGTACACCCGCTCCGTCCAGGCCGGCTCCAGGGCACACCTCAGCAAGGCCGAGGACCCGGAGCGTCTGCTTCGCGTCCTGGAGCGAGCAGGCGTGATGTACAATGTTGCCCCGCTGGACGAAGAGCACTGGGTCCCGGGGGCGAAGAGGATCCATATCAACCTCGGGAAAGAGGGCTTCCCGGACATGGTACCGCCGGGCATGCACCTCGGGGAACCGCTATATACGGGCCCTAACGATGTCGAATCGTTCGAGTATGAGGAAGGTTGGGGCTTCAGGATGGGTCTCGACCAGATCAAAGAGCATATTCAATCAATGGCCTTTCCCAAGTCTAGTGAATTGGATAAGCTATTGCAGGATTGGGCCGATGCGGTTGGAACGAACCAGGTTGATGGATGCTGGCCATGCAAGCTAATTCTAGCAACTCGCCGCTGAGGTAGAGACGAGTCTGAGCTACCAAGACGTAGGAATCGGATAGGATGGTACCTTCCACTGTTGATATCGGGGAACTGCCGCAAGAGTGGTTGCCGAGAAGCAAGCAAGAAAATATATATGGAACAAGTTGCTTGTCTCATTCTCCGGATCTCAGGTACGCACCCAAACTTGGATACTTCAAAGCTCCAGTTCCCAGACTTCTCCCTTGGACTCTGGTGTCGTAAAGTGCCCCGTCTCCTCGTACAATCGCTTGAAGCCGATCTTGGTGTATAGCTGCCTCGCAGGGGTCAGGACGCTCTGGGTCGAGAGAATCACTTTCTTGTAGTTCTTCTCCCGGGCAAAATCGACAGACTTTTGCACAAGTTGTTTTCCGAGCCCAAGGCCTCTCGCTTCCGGCTCAACAAGCAATACCCGCAGTCTCGCACAGGCCTCCGTTCCGGGCTCCTTGACAACGAAAATACACCCCAGGATCTTGCCGTCTTGTTCCGCGATGAACCCCCTTTCGGCGTCGGGGTCATAGTTGTCGAGGAACGTGGCCATGATCCTGGCGACCAGGCCCTCGAAGCGCGGGTCCCATCCCCATTTGTCGCAGTACAGAACGCCGTGTCTGTAGATGACCCAGCCAATGTCGCCTGGTCGATGGCTCCGGAAGGTGACTTCCCCAGCTGCCATTTCGGCGTCAGCGATGGCGGCGCACTGTGATCCTAGTTGGCCTGGAATTCATAGAACTTCGACGGGTGGGAGCGTAGAGCTGGAGAATTTGAAAGGTGAATAGTTGCTTCAAGTACGTCTTTTTTTGTCTTTTTTCAGGTGCAAGGGAAATGTCAGTCTTTATAGGATGAATCCGCCTGAGGCACATTGGCAAAAGAGAAATACGCTGATCGTAGGTGGAACGTTGTGGTTGATAAAGAAGCTTCTAGTCTCACAGTTTCGCCTATCGCGCCCTTGGCTTGACATGCCCCACCAGTGTGGCTGAACCCCTAGTCCTATATACAGATGATAGAATTCAGGTCAGAGAAACTACAAGTAAAGCTACGTGATACTAAAGTAGAACTTGACACACGGCGGATAGTAAGAAAGTATTTATCAGAGAACAGGATGGCCAAAGATATCATATCTGAATCTGGTCTGTCCTGTTGGGGTCTATGCAGGTGTAGAAGTACCATCTTGTAAGCCTCACATGGTTTTTTTGTTATAATGGGCGAGCAACTTACACCCGAGTGAAAGTGTGAGTAGAATCCAGCTAGCGAGGTTGGGAATATCCTTAAATATTCTCTTGGAAACGCCGACTTGGCCAATAATATGCACGCAAGGGGTGACAAGCTCGCCCCTATGGCGGCTTCAACTCCATTCTGTGCCGTACTCTTCGAAACCTAATCAAGACTGGGCACTACCAGACCATCGACAACCTCCAAGTCGTCTGCCCCGACTTTCTGTAATGCCTCGCGGGCCAGCCTGTCTCGAAGCGCTGCCGTTTCCTCGTCGCTGACGAGGACAAAGTCGTACCTCATCAGCCTGGTCGACGGCGGCACTCCGTACTTTTCTGCGAAGCCCTCTACATCCGAGACCGTCTCGAGATCGACCACCAACGACTCCTTGACGCCGAATACGGCGTCTGAGCGCTCGTAGGGGTCTCCGCGCAGGTACAGCGCACTGGGAACAGATCGAGTCAGCAAGGTTTATGTCCCTCCTTGACAACAAGAGGGAGCAATAATATCCTTGACAACAAGAGGGAGCAATAATATCCTTGACAACAAGAGGGAGCAATAATAGAATGGGATTCACGTACGTGATCAGCCTGTCGTACCCGGGCTTGTCAAACATGAAGTGGAAGTGGCTCGGCCGGTACGGATGCCTCTTCAGCTTGCCGAGCAGCTTCCCGACGGGCCCGTCGCTGGGGATGGGATACGGCACGGGCACGATGGCCCTGCAGTGGAACACGCCGGCGTCGTCGGTCGTCAGCACGGCCCGGCAGTCGGGCCCGTCGCGGTCCGCGTACTGCACGTCGTAGAAGCCCTTGGAGTCGGTCTCCCAGACGTCGACCCTGGCCCCCGCGACGGGCCGGCCGCTGGTGTCGCGCACGGAGCAGACCACGAGCATGGGCTCGCCCTCGGCGTCGTGCGAGATGAGCGCGCCGTTGTCGAGCTCCCGGGCCTCGTGCGAGTGGAAGGGCCCCAGGACGGTGCCCTCTGTCGACGCGGGCGGCTTGGGGTGGTCGATGGCGTCGACGAGCAGCGAGAGGCCGAGCACGTCGGAGAGCAGGATGAACTCCTGGCGCACGTCGGTGCAGGCCTGGCCCACGGCCGTGAGGAAGCCGACGGCGGCCTCCCACTCGGCCGTGTTGAGGCGGGTCTCGCGCGCAAAGTCGTGCAGGTGCACGACGAGGCGCTCGAGGAGGAACCGGGCGCGGCGGTCGTCGCAGCCGGCGTTGATGGCCTGGACGTTCTCGGTGATGTTGTCGATGGTGAGGTCCTTGAGGACCGGCTGCTGGGGGGAGCTGCCCATGGTGATGTTTGTTTTGTGGCTGGATCTTGGTATGTATGTGTGTTGCCAGTCGTAGATGTTCCGGTCGAGCGGTCGGCCTACTCTGACATCTATCGTTTGCTTATATGATTATGATTTTGTGTCTACTGGAGTGTTCGCTCACACCAACTGTCTTCACTGGTGGTGTTCAAAGCCTTGGCATCACTAGGAGGTGCAATATGGGATGATGGACCGAACGATGAACAACCACAATATCATGTGCTTTCTAGTCTAATGTATGTCTGGTCGATTTGCAACATGCTGTTCCCCAATGGAGAAAGGGACGGTGCCTGCGGCATTGCGTATTGATGACATTGGGTGCTGGCAACGGCAAAAACCATATCCGAAAGGACGTCCCACAGCCGGAAGCCCGCCCCGTTGCCATTAGTTGCGGGCTTTCCAACCTAGCGCCTAGCCTCCCCACCTGTATAATGAATTTCCCGCCTTATTCTACAAGAGTGTTGGAGTTTAGTAACCCGTTAGGGGCGTCGTTTATAGTCGTTGTCATCGCTTACAAACGAGTCGTCGGAGAAATGCCACGATTCCAATGGTCTTGGCGCCGTGGTCGGAAATCCTTCCGAGCGAGGTATGCATGATCAGTGACGGGATCTTCCATCTCCAGTCAGTCCCTCGTCTTGTCATAGCCGGGGATGCTGGATCTATCGTCAATCAGCTCTACCTAATTTAGTCCTCTGGTCAAAATCGGATGGCTGTGTAGGAAAGTCGTCACAACCGTGAGGGACCATTTGCTATCAGGTCTATTACCACTGCAGCCTCTCTCGCGTGTACAACAACTTCGGTAGCAAGGGGCGCACCCACCACCCCCAAGATATTGCACATCAACTGTACAAACATCTTTCAACTTGGACCCTCCCCCGGTCACTCCACCATGGACATGGACTCGTTCGTATACACCGCCAGCCCGGCGCGGGTCATCTTCGGCAGCGGCACCGTCGCCAAGCTGCCCGAGGAGCTCGCCCGGCTGGGCCTCTCGCGGCCCCTGCTGCTCTCCACGCCGTACCAGACGGCGCAGGCCGACGAGCTGGAGCGCATCCTCCTCGCGGACGACGCGGGGCGCGGCATCGCGCCGGCGGGCCTCTTCGCCGAGGCGACGATGCACACGCCCGTCGCCGTGACGGAGCGCGCCGTCGAGGCAGCCCGCGCCGCGGGCGCGGACTGCCTCGTCTCCGTCGGCGGCGGCAGCACCATCGGCCTCGGCAAGGCCGTCAGCGTGCGCACGGGGCTCTACCACGTCGCCGTGCCGACGACCTACGCCGGCAGCGAGGTGACGCCCATCCTGGGCGAGACGGCCGACGGGCGCAAGGTCACGCGGTCGGCGCCCGAGATCCGGCCCGGCACCGTCATCTACGACGTCGACCTGACGCTGACCCTGCCCGCCGGGCTGACGGCGACGAGCGGCGTCAACGCCGTCGCGCACGCCGTCGAGGCGCTGTACGCGCAGAACGGCAACCCCGTCGTCGGCCTGCTGGCGCAGGAAGGGGTCCGTGCGCTGTCCTCGAGCCTGCCCGGCCTCGCCGCAGACCCGGCCTCGCGGCCGCTGCGGGCGGCGGCGCTGTACGGCGCCTGGCTGTGCGGCACGTGCCTCGGCAGCGTGGGCATGTCGCTGCACCACAAGCTCTGCCACACGCTGGGCGGCAGCTTCGGCCTGCCGCACGCCGAGACGCACACCATCGTGCTGCCGCACGCGCTGGCGTACAACCTGCCCCGAATCCCTGCCGCGGCGCAGAAGCTGGCCGAGGCGCTGCCCGGCAGCGAGGGGGACGCCATCCGCGGGCTGAACCTGCTGCTGGACAGGCTGGGCGTGGAGCGCAGCCTGGCGGCGTTCGGGATGAAGGAGGCCGACATCGACCGGGCCGCCGAGCTGGCTGCCGGGAACCCGTACTGGAACCCGCGCGAGGTGGAGCAGAAGCTGATCCGGGAGGTGATCCGGAGGGCGTGGGCTGGGGAGCCTGCGAGGGCGGACCTGTGATGTTTTGTGTGGATGGGTGGATGGGTGGATGGGTGGATGGATAGTCACCTCTTGGAGGAGGGAGCGAGGGGATGATATAGAATAGCATCATTCGAGCGTTGGATCGTAAAATATATAGATCTCATTCCGTGAAAACAATGGTCTACTTGTATATCAAAAGTAGTATCCCCCCCTCTAAATCGGAAATGCATTCAGTCCGGTCATAAGCAGGGTCCCTTCCTATGGAACACCCCGTCTAGCGCGTGATATCATCCCAAGAAAACAGGCCGAAAAAAAGCTTCACGACCGCATTCCATCCACCATGGTCATATGACATGACACCTTATCCCGTCCCGTCCTATCCCGCGTACGCACGTCTAGAGATCCGACAACTCCTCCAGCGTCCGACACGCGTCGACCATCTTCTCGTGCACGTCGCCCAGGTTCTCAAAGGTGAAGATGCTAAAGTGGTGGCCCCGGATGTCGTCTATCCGGTAGAACAGGTCCTTCCTGTACTCGTCCCAGCCCAGCCGCGGGTCGGTGCGGTGCACGTCGACGCGCAGCATGCCCAGGCCGCCGCCGCCGCCGCCGTCCTCGGAGGCCGGCACGGGCACGGGCTCCAGGGCGCGCAGCAGGATCGCGGGCGGGGGCGCCTCCCGGAAGGCGGGCGGCCGGTAGGCGAGGGCCATGCGGCCGGCCTGCTCGAAGCAGCGCGTCACGGCGACGCGCGTCTCCTCCTTGGTGGACGGCGACCACTCGAGCTTGCGCGAGACGATGGGCACGTCGATGTGCTGCCACTTGAGCGGGCAGATGCTGTCGACCATGAGGATGCCGGCGACGGCGTAGTCGCGGTCCCGCTCGAGCTGGCCGGCGACCTCGAGCGCCAGCAGCCCGCCGAGGGACCAGCCGCCGACGAGGACGGGGCCCGGCGGGACGGCCTCGCGGATGTAGCCGATGTAGTGGCGGGCCATCTCGGGCAGCCCGCCCTCCCAGGGCTCGCCCGAGTAGAAGCGCGGGTTGGCGATGCCGTAGACGGGGCGGCCGAGGTCCTCGAGCAGGTAGTAGCTGAAGACGGTGCCGCCGCCGTCGTGGAAGAGGACGAGCGGGGTGGCGCGCGAGGCGGCGGTGCCCGGCATGGGGTCCTGGACCAGGTTCGGGTTGGAGTCGAACATGGTCTCTTGGTCTGTTGTGGTGCCGGCCGGATGGGACAGTGGGCAGACGGGGCGCTTGCCAGGCCAAGAGAGGCTCAAATGGGCATGAGCAGGGATGTGGGCTGCGGCAGATTTGGCGCGAGGCGCATGCGCTGAAGGGAGGAGGGGGGACCCTTGTCGGTCCAGTCTCAATCCGGGGCGCCGGCTGGTCAGGATTCTGTGTGAGATTGATCTTTATAAACCATATAAGAAGGCTGGTCGGTTCAAGGCATGGTGCTCGATTGCAGCTGTGTTGGGGGTGAGTCGAGGCGGAAGGGGATGATGAGTGATGAGTGATGATGGCTTCAATGAATGTCCGAAAATCACCGAATGGAAGCCCGTCGAAAAAGGGTCAGCGATTCTCCCGAGGACCGCACGTGATGGCCAAGGAAGGCCCCTGTCAGATTTGATTTCCAGCTCGCGCACGCTGGACAAGCAAAGAGGAAGGCCTGCTTTTGCGCATGAGCTGAGGGAGACTCAGGTGAAGTGACAGTTACTGGCTGTCAAAGGAGCTGATGCTGTGGCACTTTGAGGAAGCAAGCCCCAGAAATGTCTGGATGGGTGAGTTGTGCGAGAGTGTGCTTGTGTGATTGTGTGGTTGTGTGATTGTGTGATTGTGTGAAAACGAGACATGTCTCATCCAACTCCAGATCCAGGCGGTCACTTTAGGTTATTTCTGGCCCATTAATTAGAGGGCGATCACTCAATTAAAGGGTGTGCTTACAGGCACCATCCACTACCAATTGGCATCAAGCAAATGGCATTGACGAGATCAAGCATAAGCTCACCACCCCTAAAGGAAGCAAGCTAGCAAAGGGGTCTCAATTGACATCTTCACAAAAACTCACATCGAATGCACTGTCTTTTTGAAAAATGAAAGCCAGGCTGGTCGACGATCAGGACCGGAGGAGCTGCCCTTCATCGACAGGGACTGGCCGGCCCCTGCAGCATTTGCTGGATGAGTCGGATTATCTCAGGTACACGTCGATAAAGTACGAGGAGTGACAGATGAAGTGACATAGAATTATTTGTAATAAAAAAAACACTGAAAAGGGACTGGCGCAAGGTTCGTGAGATGTGACGAGTGAAGAAAACAGTCCCCATGTCGCTGGTGATCTATGCTATTGTAGGAGCATCTCTGCTGGATGCCCTCACAGCCCCAAGGCTCGAATATCTATCCCCAAACGCCATCAATGATCATGAAACCCCCCGATAACTCCGTCGCTAAAGTCCCAGAAGAAAGAGACACACGCCCATCGTCTCCAGAATGCTCCTCAGACAGCCTCCCAATCCATAGCATCGACCATGAAATCCCACTGCTCTTCCAGGCCATCCATAGGCACCTCGCCCTCCTCCTGTCCGGCACCCGCGCCCGCTCCCTCGCCCTCACGCTTGCTCTTCAGCTCAGCCACATACCCCTCCGCGATGACATACGCCGCATCGAACCCGGCAAAGATCGTCTGCAGGATGTTCTCCAGGTCGTAGCTCTCCAGCGACGGCCTCGCCGCCTCCCGCCGGTCCCTCTCCCTCTGCAGCGCCGTCTTGAAGTACGGCTGCTGCTGCTGCACCCCGCCGTTCACGCCGTTGTTGTTGGCGGCGATGATGACGCCCTCCCGCCCCTCTCCCTCCGGAGGAGCAGTCGCATCGGCGTCGGCGTTCTTCCACCGGTTCCGCAGGTCCTTGGCCCGCGCGAGCTGCCGCCGCACCTCCCCGCGGCCCAGCGCCCCGTGCAGCGGGTTCGCCTCGTCGTCCAGCGCCTCCAGCACGGCCGCGTGGTACCGGTGCACGGGGCTGGTCCCGCGCTCCGGCGCCAGGCCGTACACCGACAGCAGGTGCACCAGCGCGCGCTCGCACAGCATGTAGTACTCGAAGAAGTCGAGCTTGAACATGAGCTCGGCCTCGCCGCCGCCGTGTCGGTCGGGCGGGGAGCTGTTGTGGTTGGCCGAGGCCGAGGCGAGGGCCACGGCCTGCTGGTAGCCCGCGGCCAGGAAGGGCAGCTTCCACTTGAGCCGCCGCACGATCTTGGTGTAGCGCGCCAGCTCGGCGGCCGGCGGCAGGGCGGCAGCGGTGATGTAGTTTGGTAGGGGCCGCTGGGGAGGGGCGCTGCCGGTGGTGGTTGTGGTGTTGATGGTGTCAGGCGGAGAGCCGTCGGATCGCGGAGAGGGGTTGCCGGAGGTGGTGGTGCGGGGGACGTCGAGGCGGTTGGACGGCGGGAGAGAGTGCGTCCTGTAGGGCGAGGAGGCCGCCCAGCGGGAGTTGGAGAGACCGTGTACGGTCATTGTGCTTCTTTTTCTTTGCGCGAAATGAGATTCGTTTGGATCAGGGCGGTTGTCGCATATCCAAGGTGGGATTTCGTGCCCTCGCGTGTCTCACGCGCCGGCAGGTCTGGCTCCTTTAATACGTATGGGGGTAAAGTCTCTCGAAAGTACAGGATGAATATCATAAAGGACCTTATTGATGATGATGATGCAAATGCAAAGGACAACAAAGAGAGGTTGTGCACCAACAATGGTGGATGTTGGACTTGGAACAAAGCCGGAGAACAAGGGCATTCACTGATTCCATTGATGTGTCGTCAGAGTTCAGGCAGTCGGTTGGTTGGTGGGGGGCGCACTCGGGGGCTCGGCTGTCTCAAATTAGCGCCAGGGGTCGCCCCAGACGCCTGCAGGACCCACTAACGATCCCTGTACACTGTGTACAGTTAGGCGAGCTCCAACAACGACTTGCATCCATCAAAGACGTGATGACCAAAGGATCATCAAGTTGAATTTATCTGTCCGAAATCACCATAAAATAGTCTTGTTCCTCCCTCTTAACATTTTAACTCTAGTGTGCAATATAACACCAGCCAGTTCATTATGCTTCCGAGAAAGGAATTGGTATTCCGTCCAGGCCATCACCCATGCTGAAATATAACATCTCTCAACTTCACAGCCAAGACTAGCACGCTCTCGTAATAATACATTCCTATCTAGTTACCTACTCTCACACTTAATAAAGATAAAGAAACAATATGCGTCTACATAAATAACAGCCGGACTAACGGGATCCTAGACGGATCTAACGGCCTAGCATCAGCTTCCTCGTCTTCGTCGCCCTCCGAGGCACAATCGCGAGAATGCATCTGCTCCTCCTCGTCAGAGCCGCAGAAAGCCTTCAGCTCGCCCTCCCTGCCGTGGCGAAGCCGCTCGGCCTGGTCCAGCAGCGCGCGGAAGAAGGCCCACCGCTCCCCGACGGCGCACGAGGCGTCGGGGCACCACGTCAAGTGCTTGGTCTCCTCGTCCTTGGCCGAGGACCAGGTCCCGGGGTCCATCGCCTGGAGCCATTCCGTCTCGCTCGGGTTGCCCGTCTTCATCTCGCGCTCGCACCACAGCATGACCCAGTCCCCGTCCCGGGCCCACCGGATCCACGTCCTGCACGCCCCGCACCGGTACCTGTGCATCGAGTTGACGTGGAGAAATCCCTCCTCGTCGCGCAGCACGTCCATCAGCTTGCCCGGCTCTCCGTTGCCGCCCAGCTTGGCGCACGCGCAGCACCAAGGGACGGGGGCGCCGTGGCAGGGTTCCGGGGGCAGGCCCAGGCAGCCGCAGGAGTAGCCGCCGAAGCACGACAACAGTTGGTCGCTCTCTATGTCGATGTGCGGGCAAACGATCCCGCTGAGCGTTTCCTTGCGCGGAAAGGCGCGCCAGAGCTTCTTCAGGGTGTCCAGGTCGATCGGCTCGTGCCGGCTGTGGCGGAACATCCGGACCCAGGTTTGTATCTTGACCGAGTTGTTACGATCGGAGGGCCCACTGGAAGTCTTCATGATTGCGCTCTGCGCGACGAGCTTCGGGTTGCAATATGGGCACTTTGTTAACTCAATGCGGTGGAGGGGATGACACCGTCGCCCATATACGATGTCCTCCCACCCCAAGGACAGGTGGGGGCACATCCGGACCCGGCCTATGTGGGAGATGCAGATCCGCTCCCGGGCCGGCCTGGAACGCTGCCAGGCCGTGAATTGGATCCGGCTGTGTTTCGTCTGGCATTCAGAGCAGTACAGCAGGCTCTCGACCAGGTCGTCTTTGACGGCCTGGACGGGGACGACTTCTCGGACGCGCCGGCAGCTGTCGCAGAGATGGTCTGCCTGAAGCAGCTTCGCGACCTGGTCCCGGTCAATGTCCTCATCAGGGCGGTCATAATATTCGATGTAAAATGCGGTCCTAGAGGCCTGCCTGAAGAGATATCGCTCCTCAGGGTCCATGGCCGCCATGATCCTCAATAGAAGCTCCTGCGGCAGCTGCAGAAGGAGGCAGGGTTCGTCGTCTGTCTTGGTTCCCTTGTGAGGGGCTGGTGGCGTCTCGTCCGTGGTTGCAATGGCCGACTGAGGATACTCAGAGTGCTCAAGTCGAGGTCGCTTTGTAGAGGGGGGTTCGACAGCGACGTCGTCTTCAACGTCTGGGGAAGCACGCTGGTTCTTCTTCTCCTTCTTCTTCATGGTGGTATTGGCTTGAGCGGGGATGCTATCGAGCACCATGGGTGCAGTCTGGTCGGGTTGGGTCTCCATGGCTGGAGTCGAAGCGATGAAACTGCTAGCGGAATAGTTGAGTGCTGAGGCAAAGTCAGGGATGGGGGTCTTGAAAGGGGACGACGGTCCGTTATGTAATTACGGACGCAACTCAAAAGGCTTGGTTGTGGTGAATGTCGCAAGCGATTTGGTTTTAAGGAAAATCCCAATATGATACTCGAAAGAAGAGCGTCGTCCACAAGTGATTGGAATTGGTGGGCAGGTTTGTGAAAGAATAGTGGAAAGCATTGTCTGCCTGACAAAGAACAGTGACCAGGGTTGTTTAATGACAAAGGGCCAGTTAACAACCGCCACACCTCTCTTTCAGTCAAGTCTCTTGTGGTTGCACAGTGCTTTGGGCCTTTAGCTAAGCAACTCCCTTTGTACAAACCGTTGATCATGGGGCCAAAGAAGTTTTCAAGTCAATGTATTTATAGAACAGCTCAAAGCAATAGCCTTTGATCGCCCTGGGCCAGCAGAAGGCCGTGTTCATCATCAAAATCGCTTGTCCCATTGTGCCATCAAATTTTGAATTCCGTCTATCCCATGCTAATTGCGCAGAGTACCAGTTTTGCCTCGACAGCCACAGCCCCAAGCAAACCCTTTTTGCTTCCTTTCTTTCCCATAGTCCTATCTACCTGTGATTTGAAGATGCGACAAAGGAACAATTCACTAGCCTAAAGTGCAGGCAGGGCGAAATGCCCCGTACAATCTCCGCAACCAAGCAGCTCAAAGCACCTTTGTTCATGGTGCGAGTCCAAAGCTGAGCTCAATGCCCCCCCCCCCCCCCGGCTCAATAAGATCCCTGCTCTCACGAATTGAGTTCTGAGATCCCTCGACTTTCAGTTCCCCTGATATCTACCCATCAGTTTCATAACTCTCTCCTTACTAGCCATATCGCGCAGCAACCTCCCAACGGCTGTCCATCTCTCCCTCGTGGCGCAAGACTCGTCGACGCACCATGTGACGTGCCTGGTGGACTTGGCATCTGTTATCGAGTAGGACTCCGGTACTATCTGTGTCAGCCAGCGCTCAGAAGCTGGCCCGTTTCCAAGGCTTATGGACCTGTCCACAGTGAGACAAACCCAGTCGCCTTCCCTATGCCATGAGTATGAAGCTTTGCAGCAGCTGCAGCAGTACAAGTGAGATGTGTTGAAGCGAGGCATCAGCTTGCCAACTCGTCCGGGCTCGGCTTCACCCTGGCATGCACAGCAATAAGGTCGATCCTCATGCCTCTCTCTGTGTCCTGGAGTTGCTCCAAGACAGGCGCACCCTGCAGCTCCGAAAGGCGCCAATAGCTGGTCGCTTTCTAGATCGATGTGCGGGCAGGTAATCCGTTTGAGCCAGAAATGTTTGGAGTGGTGGCGCCAGATAGACTTGAGACCTTCAAGATCTATTTCTCGGTCCGCCTCGTAGCGGAAAACGGGAAATTCCGTCGAGATATGGATGTACTCCGGCGTTTGCCAAGAAGTGACAGGTAGTACTGTGCCTACGTTGTTGTAAGTGACCCAAGATCTCAAAGCTGGATGGCGGAGCTGAAAGATATTTTGATTCTCGCAGTAGTTGCATTTGATGGTGTGGCTCTCGCCACCCAAGCCTCTGAGCTCCTCAATCTTTTCCCAGCTCAGGGTCTGGTGGACACAGAGCTGAATATGGCCCTCCCGACCGATACATCTTCTCTTCCACCATGGTGCTGCTCGTTGTATCGACGAAAAGAGAAGCTCTGGGTGTTTCTTGCGGCAGCCGGAGCAGTATATCACCTTCTCAAGAAGGCGCTTTCGTTTCTTGTTGACCAATCCTGTGCTGCGGGCTTGTCGGCAGGTCTGACAGAACCTATCAGCCTGGATGAGCGGAGCTATCTTGTCTTGGTCAAGGACTGGTTTCCAAAAAGAGGTTCTCCACGTTGGGTAGCTAAATTGGAAGAGTTTCTCCTCAAAGTACTGGCTGAAGGCCCTGTCGAATGACATGTGAAAGAAAGTTCGGCAGGTTCTCTGGAGAAGGAAGAGATCCTCGGGTTCCAGAAGTTTCATGATCGATAGCTGCAGCTCTTGTGGCAGCTCGGTGATTCGACAGCGCTTTTCTTTCTCCTCGGTGTCGTAGTCCTCACACAGCTCCTCCTGGCTCTCAGTTCTTGCACATTTTGGAGGTCGATCTTCGATCTCGTCGTTGTCATCCGGAGCACCTCGCTTGCTGGCGGTGCTTATGCCACCAATGGCCAAGATGTCTTTGATCACGGCCGTATCTTCCTCGGCTGAGAGACGACGGCGCTTGGTAGGGGGGGTCGCGAGAGAAACGTCGTCGTCGGTGGCGGGTCGCTTGTGGGCAGTGGCGGTCTCCGCTCTGGCGAAGACACGGTCGAGCGCGGCTGGCTTCTCCAGGCTCATACTGGAACCCATTGTTGCGTTCTTTTTTGAAGAATGTAATCGAACTTTCGAGCAAACTGAAGGCTTCTAGTGTCGTAGAGGCCAGCGTGTGTTGCAAAGTGAACCTTTGAAGAGAAATAGGCTCACTGACAAATATCAGTACTGTTCTGTGAGGAAAGAGTTGGGAAGTTCTGAGATGATGGTGAGGAGAATCCGAGAAGATGTCAGAATGCCGAAACTCGGAAATCGTAATTTCTGGTCGGACGGACTCTGCGGGCTAAAGACAGAATAGCCTGGGGTTGCAGCAAGGTAGCTTTGTTGACATTCAGAACAGATCGCTGAGAATAACGTCCGGGTTATTGGAAAGCCAATGTATGTGGCAGGTATCCGAGTTCGAGAACAGTGAAAGGAGTAAATGTAGCTCTTCAGTGGATACGGTGTTGTGACTCTCGTTTCGATACTAAAAGAAGCTGTATGAATCTCCTTGCAGACGATACTTGATAGGCAACGCCTTTAAGAAGCCGTTGAGCTTTGGGATTGAACGAGGTGAAGACTTGGAATCGAGATCTTCGAAGTTGGGTGGAAGTGTGGTGGAAAAGAAAAGGGAAGAGGGAAGAGGATCGAGGGAGCAGGCTGAAATTTAAAGACACCTGAAGCTTTCAATTCACTATTGTTGTCACTTTGCTATTGTCTGACAAAGCTATTGACGAAAATCTGAAGTGTCCCCGAATAGTGAATTGATAGGTCAATTCACTGCCACAATATGTGATATGTATATATACTAAGGTTACTAAAGGTCTTTTGGTCGAGCATCTTTCGAAATGCACCACAGAAAGTAGAGACACTTCAGGGCACACATGTGGCAGGCTCAGCCGAAACGTACATAGGGTCTTTCAACTAAACCACCAAACGCACCGTTTAAGTATCCCGGTCCGGCAAGCCTGTTGTTTCAATGTCACATGCAGGGCGAATGCAAACAACAAACAACCAGTCCCGGCAGTTAATTCTTGAGTAATCTAATAACCCAAAAATTGATAAATGTGTCCCTTTCACTGCCCTCACTCTTGGGAACTATCACCAACCGTGGCCAGCCCTTGGGTATCCTAACCAATCACTAGTTGCCCTCATCGTAACCCATCTCCTACCAATGCCTCACAACAAACACAAAACCTCATAACCAATGCCCAGTAACCGACAAAGTTCCCAACCACATGCGATACCTGATTCTCGTCCTCTGAGCCCCCTCCAGCGAGCCATGCCCATGCACACCACGCCGCCGGACTCAGAACCGAAGCTCAACATCCCCAGCCCGATACCCGAGCGCCTCCCTCAGCAGCCGCCCGTGCTTCGCCCACACGGCCCTCGCAGCGCACCGCTCGTCCGGGCACCACGCCACGTGCCGGGCCTCGTCGTCGCCCACGACCGCCAGCGACTCCGGGTCGAGCAGCTTCGCCCACTCCCAGCAGACCGGCCCGCCGGCCACAGCGGCGTCCCGCCTGTACTCGAGCGTGACCCAGCCCTCCTCCCCGTCCCGGTCCCAGCTGTAGTGGCCGCCGCAGACGCGGCACCGGAGGTTGTGCGCGAGCTCGCCGCCCTCGAGGAACTGTCGTCGTCGTCGGTGCGAGCTCGGGAACACGATGAGCTCGTGGGCGCAGCAGGGGACCCTTTGGCAGGCCACGCCGGCTGCGTGCGTCGTGGTGCTGGTGGTGGCGGTGGTGTTGGCGGGCGCTTCCTTGTCTGCCAGCGGCGGGCTGACGCAGCAGCAGTGGCTGTTTCCAAAGGGGCTGAGGAGGGTGCACTCGTCCTCGAGGACGTGCGGGCAGCGCAGCGCCCGTACGAGGTCCCTGTTCGGCGCCGTCCGCCAGAGCAGCCTCAGGCGCTCGAGGTCCGCTGCAGCAGGAACAGTTCCTCGGGGTGCAGGAAAAACATGATGTTGAGCAGCATTTCGCGAGGCAGGTCCGTGAGTAGGCGTCGGTTCTCGGCGATCTTTGCCCCCTTCTTTTCCTGCTCGTCCTTCTCATCCTCTTGGCCAATTCTGCTGAAGAGTGTTTTCACTCGCGGGATCACTCGTTCAACCATAGAGACAGAGACATCTATCGCAGCCTGCTTCGCAGGGCCCTTGGCGCCAGTCGTCACCGGCAGAGGCGGCTCTTGCGGCAGGTGGCGCATGGAGAGATCCGCCATCCTCTTCTTTTGGGCCTCGAACAAGGCAGCATCCCTAGCCAAGAACACTCTCAGAGAAGCTACAGATCGCACCCAATCAATCTGCCGCGGCTCGCCGCTGGGAAAATTGCTGGCCCGAGGCGTCTCCCTCCTGCATCCGTCGTCGCTGGGATCATCACCCATCGTCGTCGAAGGTTATTGTTGATTTAAAGTTTGGCATGGCGTAGATGATTGCAATGTCTTGAAAGTGTCCAAAGAGACGCAACTTGCTCAAGTGTAATTAGTCTTTCACTTCGACAGAACCATGGAAATAGCAGAACTAGCAAGTTCTGAACATTACGCGTTGCACCACCTCCCTAGAACCAGAACCAGATAATCCCATCACCATGGTCTCGACTGTGTCTTGAGGAGTCATATGTAGTTGTTGATAATCAGGCTCAATCTAGCCACACCCGATGCAGCAGCCAACACGTGACAAAAAGCATGCATGTTTTCCATATACAACCATTCTCAATTCCCTCGCGGAGACCTAGATAGACAATACTACGCAACACCAAAGACGTCAATCTCTCCAACGCCAGAACCCCGTCCCTCCTCCGTTCCTACTCTCTCCACCTGTCAAACAAAAGCAAGCTATGAAATCTCGCGTCTGTAGGCATTGTGGTAGTACCAAACTCTGCCCAAGCAAGGGCTGCCAAACAGAGAATCCAGAACACCCTATCTCCCAGGCTCGCGGGGGCAGATAACCATCTTTCGATGTGAAAAAAGTACACTTTCGTTGGTATCATTAAGTGCGATGCGTTCTAAGAACAACAAGAAAAAAACAACATCAAATATCATCAAGAGCCACGGCGCCTCTACTCCTTCAGCTTCTTGGTCGACTTGGCCGTGCCAATATGCGTATTGTGCACCTGGGGAAGAGGTCAAATTTTTAGCGCATGCTCTCATCTTTCCTCATCATACAAGCAAAGGGATCAAAAGACATACCTTGGTTGCAAACCTCAAGCTCGTAATCGTCTCCTTGAGGTGCGCCTCGAGCGGGCTCACCATGACAAACATGAGCGTCTTGGAGTTGCCCCCGAGCGAGTACTGCAGCAGGTGCGTGAGCTTCGAGTTGCGGTACGGCACGTGCCCGGACCCGCGGCCCAGCGCCTCGATGACGTCGCCCAGGCAGGCCAGGCTCTTGTTGATGTTCTGCGTCTCGCGCATGCGCTCGCCCTCGGCCTGCGAGTGCTTGAGCCGCTCCGAGCCCGCCAGGTCCACGAGGTTGAGCGTGCCCTCGCACCGCTCGCCCGTCGCCGCGTTCTCGCCCGTCAGCCGCAGGATGAAGACCGAGTGCGAGCGCGACGAGCGCTCGTTGGCCTTTGTTGCGGCCACGGACCGGTTGTTCTGCGCCTGCGCCAGCATCGTCTCCACCATGCCGGGCGAGTCGAGCCGCACCGTCTTGCAGTTGACGACGGTCGTCGACTTGCGCGCGTCGTCGTGCCTGATCTCGAGCTTCCTCTTCGGGTCCGACTCCCTGCTGGACGTGAGCAGGTCGTTGAGCTCCTCGTTGTACACCTCCACAAAGCTGCCCTCCATCGTGTAGCTCCACGACTTCTCCTTGAGCTGGGTGATGGTGTCGTAGATCATGTGCGTCGCCCTCGGGATCATGCCATCGGCGGAGGACATGGTGTACGTCTTTCCTGAACCTGTTTGGCCGTAGCAGAAAATGCACACGTTGTAGCCGTCGAGAGCGCTCTGCACGAGCTGGGAAATCTCGCCAAAGACATCCTCGTTCTGCACCGATGGCGTGAAGACTCGGTCGAACTCGAAAGGAATTGTTTTCCGGCTCACGACACCAAGACTGCTCTTCTCTTCCGGTCCCGTCACGTCGATCTGTGCTGACGTCTTGAGATCGGGGAACAGAAGCTTGGCCTCCTCGCCCTCGGAGCTGTCAATCACTGGCCGTACACGGCACATGACCCGGATGTTTCCCTTGAGCTCCTGGTACTTGTTGAAAAGCACCCGTCGCTCCGTCTCCTCCTTGATGAGCTTCTGGCGCGCCTCCTCGGCGATCTTGAGGGCCTCCTGCAGCCTGGCTTCCATGCTGGCGAATGAGTCGGATTGCTGCTTGCTGTCAGATTCCAAGAACTCAATCTGTGCGCGGAGGGCACGGCCGCGGTCCTCCAGTGTCATGTTGGTCGTGGACAGCTCGGCGAACTTCTGCTGGAGGTTCTTCTTGGCCAGCTGCTCTTGCTCAAGGTCACGCTTGAGCATCTCGATCTGGCTTTGCATGGTTTGCATTTCCCGGTCTTTGCCCTGCAGAGCCAGGTGCAGATCTTGTTGTTCGGAGTCGAGCCTCGTACGCAGGTCGTCCACTTCTTTGGACTTCTGGCTTCGCTCGTCATCCAGCTCGGCACGGTAATGTCTCTCGAGGGCCTCCAGAGCTTCGCGGTGTCCTCTCTGCGCCCGCTCAGTCTCATCTTTGAGTTCTCTCCTTAGCTCGTTCAGCTCATGCTGATGCTCTCGACTCCGCCCTTCGACATCGAACTGGTGACTTCTCCGTTCCGTTTCGAGATCTAGGGTCAGTGAGTGGACTTGAAGCCTTAATTCATTCAGCTCCGATTGTAGAGATGAGTTTCTTTGGTTCAGTTGATCACGTTCTCGCTCCATGTCATTCGCTGGTCCTTTCGTCAGCCACGACATTAGGTCCTCCACGTTGTTAGCAAAATCTTACCTCTCGTCTTCGCCAGCTCGATGACGTCCTCCATCGCTTTGCGGTCGGTTAGTGAGCCATGCATGACCTCCTTCATAGCCTTGAATTGGGCCTCGACTTCGTGCAATCGCTCGTCGACGTCCCATGCTGTGAAGCCGCGCAAGTTAGATTCCTTGGTCAGAAAGGGCTGAGTTGACTTGGTAGGAGAAGGAGAAGCAGCGACAGTTCTGGGTGTGAGTGCAACATTCAGGGCTGATTCAAAGTCCGACATTGCCTTTCTGACAACTCGGACGGGTGTTCTAGGCGGCGGCACCACTGGGTCTGCTTGAACCTCTTGGTCTGTGGGAGCCAGGGGATTCTCTTCCTCTTTGCGTCTGGAGCGCACGGTGACGTTGCTGAGTGAAACAGCAGCTTGCTGTTGCTGTGGCTGTACCTGATTGTCTTTCTCTGGAATCACTTGTTTTCCATTGATTGCTTGCTGATCTGCCTGTTGTTCGTCGATGTGAAACCGGTCCATACGACCGACAAGACTGCTGAGAGAGCTTTTTCTAGGGGTGGGTGAAGTTGGAATAGAAATTGATGAAAGAGACTGAGAGAATCTTGCTCGGGACTTCCTCACTGGAAGCGGTCCGGCTCTGGATTGAGATGGCTGAAAGAAAGATGGCGGTGGCATCGTACCATTCTGCTGCTTGCCAGCGACTGGCTCATCCTCCACGACATGATTGGCCATTGCCGTCACAGGCCTTGTGCGGGTATGCGATCGCGCTCTGCCGTTGGTAGACTTGCTGAAGGACATGGAGGTCTGCGGCCTGTCGCCATGCGATGTGAGGGGTCGCGCGCCGTAGCCAACGCTCTTGCCATAGTTGCTCGTCGAGGGCGGCCGTGAAGCATTGGATAGCTGGCGGGAGTGTGTAGGTCCTGGGTTGTTGAGGTTGGCGAGGCTCATGCCCTTGGGGGCGGGCCTGATGTTGGAACCGGCGGCGGCGGCGGGACCGATGGAGCGCGCGCCAAAGTCTCCTGCTCGGTCGTTGGTCGTCTTACGTTTCGCTTCGGGCTGTCGGGATGCTAGATGTCAAGGTTAGACCGCGTCCAGCAGGCAATAACTCGCGTGCAATGAATTCACCACCACGTACGCTGGTCGGGGAACTGGCGCTTGAGGCCAGTCAAGCCGGTTGGCAATTGGGACGGCTGCGGTATTCTGACGTTCTTTTGCGATTCTGAGACCTCTTGCAGCGCGGCCGCGGCGCTGACGGAGGGAGGCTTGAGTCTCGAGAGCGATGACATCGGGCGGGTTCCCTGTGTTGTGGAGGGTGTCTGGGTCAGTATGGATGCGTTGCGGAGGACATGCAGGTAGCTCTTCATGGACAGAATGTACATACCCCGTTCTCTGAGTCCATGATGGGCGGCGGCGGTCGTCGAAGAGGGCGAAGGACAAGCTGGAACAGAAAGTAAGAAGCAAGGAGCGTTGCCCCAGACGCGGACGATGTGGATGGAGTCGTGGTGAAGGTTGAAGACCGAACAATAGGTTAGCGATAATGGATATGTATTTACGCTCTTGCCCCGATTGGGGAGACTGTTTCGGGCATGGGACGGGGTTGCACGGGGTGGTGCAGTCCAATGCGAGCCAGAGTTGTGCCGCAGATGCGTTCCTTGTGCTGCAGGCTGGGCTGTGTACACGAGCCAGGGTCGGGTTATTTCGATGCTCAACCGCCAACGTTTGTTTACTTTGCCGTTGCGATGGAGACAGCATGGCCCGTGCGTTTTTGTTTCAGGAAGAGGGATGCATGGGTCAAGCCACGACGCCACACCAGCATGACCCCATACCGTTTTAGTGACGGCAGCCACATCTTCACATGCTTTGGGGGCGATTTTGAGTGGAGACCCTTGATTTTTGGTGGTGGCGGCCCTTTGTCTGGCTGGCCTGTATGACATCTTTTTGGTGATGGGCCACAATTTTGCGGCACTGAGGCAAAGCTTACCTGCGTTATCCTCTCCGTCAGATGTTACGAGAGAGTCAGTCCGGCTCCCCTTCTCGACGGCCCTTCGAATGATTCATTGTCTTATACTAGGAGACCACGGCTCTTGCACTGATGCCTCTCTAACGCATCCTTCTCCATCTCTCTCAACTCAAGCCCCTCTCCCACCCTCATCAACGTCTCTGATCAAAGCCCAGCCGATCTAGATACACCAGCACACACGCACGATGGAGAAATACTCCCAGTTCCGGGACAGAGGTACGTCTCACGGACTCCTTCGGGAAGAAGCCCGACTCGACAGCCAGCTCACCTCTTGCGCACAGGCTCCGGCATCTCCCCCTTCATCCCTGTCAAGACGCCCTCGACCTTCCTCTCCGCCCTGCCCCGCGTCTTCATCTTCCTCTTCCGCCTGCCCTTCTTCCTCGCCTACGCCGCCGTCTACTTCCTCGTCCTGCGCTGGCTACCCCTGCCCCTGGTGGCCCGCAAGCTCCTGCTCTGGGGCGTCATGGGCATCCCGGGCATATGGTGGGTGGACCTGCAGCTCGACGGCGTCAAGCGCGGCTCCCTGGCGCAGCAGCCGCCCTCGCGCGTGCCGCACCCGGGGTCGGTGATCGCCGCCTCCTTCACCTCCCCCGTCGACGCGCTCTACCTCGCCGCCGTCTTCGACCCCGTCTTCGCCGTCTCGTACCCGCGCTCGCGCAAGGTCCGCCGCGTCTCCCTGCGCGGCGCCATCGCCCACGCCCTCGGCACCGCGCAGCTCGCCGAGAGCCCCTCCCCGGGAGCTACAGGGCTGACGGATCTGCGGGCCCTCCTCAAGAGGTACCCGGACCGCGTCATCGCCGTGTTCCCCGAGTGCGGCACCACCAACGGCAAGGCCATCCTGCCCCTGAGCCCGAGCCTCGTCACCGTCCCCGCCGACACAAAGATCTTCCCCGTCAGCATGCGCTACACGCCCCCCGACATCACGACCCCGGTCCCGGGCGCTTGGTTCGCCTTCCTGTGGAAACTGCTGAGCCGGCCCACGCACCTCGTCCGCGTTAGGATCGCCGAGGGCGTGCTCAACACCAGCGCCTCTGTCAACGGCGTTGGGGCAGCAGCAGCAGCGCACGGAGTTGATGAGGCCAGCTCGCCGCAGTCCGATGTCACGTATGAGGAGCAGCTCGTCTTGGATCGCGTCGCCGAGGCGCTGGCCAGGCTGGGTCGCAACAAGAGGGTCGGCTTGACGCTGCAGGACAAGGCAAGGTTCGTGGAAGCGTGGCGCAAGTAGGTGTGCTGGATCGTCTTGCTCATTGGGGAGGAGGGTGTGGTGCTGTTATTGTTTCGTATCTACTCTTTTCCGACTCAAAATATCGCAAGGAGCTATGGATCGCATTTGCATGGTGTAGGCTCGGTTCTGCGTCGTCGATTTCCTTTTCAACATCACCAATGTCGAAGCTCTCACACTTGTTGAAGGTAGTTTGAACTTTGTGAACATATTTGATCTGATTTGATTGATATCTCTTTCTTGATTCTTTACATCCCTGACCGAAAACAACTAGCAAGAAGCCCAAAGTTGCAAAGATCAAGAAGTAACCCAGTAGTGCAAAAGAAGAAATACAAAAAGCACAAATTGCGCCTATTCATCCTTTTCTTCCATTTTTTGTTTTGCCCTTGACAATTACAAGCAGCTCTCAGAACGGATATCAATCATCTAATGTAGATACCTGCCACAAGCCCAAACAAAAAGGCCCATTCACATCCTCAACCTCACACACACAACAAATCGGCGATCATGCGTCGGTGATGCACCCGTGGCTGGCATCCGACACGAGCTGCGCGTACTTCCTCAGCGTGCCGCGCTTGGCCCTCGGCTCCCGCGGCGTCCACTCGGCCTTGCGCCTCGCCATCTCCGCGTCCGACACCTCGAGGTCGATGACGCGCTTCTCGGCGTCAATGATGATGTGGTCGCCATCCCGCACGAGGCCGATGGGGCCACCCTCGGCGGCCTCGGGCACGACGTGCCCGATCAGGAAGCCGTGGCTGCCGCCCGAGAAGCGCCCGTCGGTCAGCAGCGCGACGTCGTTGCCGAGGCCGGCGCCCATGATGGCCGAGCTGGGCTTGAGCATCTCGGGCATGCCCGGCCCGCCCTTGGGCCCCTCGTAGCGGATGATGACGACCGTCTTCTCGCCCTTCTTGAGCTCGCCGCGCTCGAGGGCGTCGATGAAGTCGTCCTCCTGGTCGTAGCACTTGGCCTTGCCCTCGAAGCGCAGGCCCTCCTTGCCCGTGATCTTGCCGACGGAGCCGCCGGGCGCCAGGGTGCCGCGCAGGATCTGGATGTGGCCCGTCGCCTTGAGCGGGTTGGACAGCGGGCGGATGACCTTTTGGTCCTCGGGGAAGTCCTTGAACTTCTCGAGGTTCTCCTTCATCGTCTTGCCCGTGACGGTGATGCCGCTGCCGTCGATGACGCCCTCCTTCAGCAGGAACTTGAGCAGGGCCGGGGTGCCGCCGATGTTGTAGAGGTCCTCAAAGACGTACTTGCCCGAGGGCTTCAGGTCGGCCAGCAGCGGGGTGCGGTCCGAGACGGCCTGGAAGTCCTCGACGGTCAGCTTGATGCCGACCGAGTCGGCGATGGCGATCAGGTGGAGCACGGCGTTGGTGCTGCCGCCGAGGATGTTGATGACAACCATGGCGTTCTCGAACGCCTGGCGGGTCAGGATATCGGAGGGTCGGATGTCCTCCCGGAGCAGGTTCTTGATGGCCTCGCCGATGTTGTCGCACTCGGCCTGCTTGGCGGGGTCCTCGGCGGGGATGCTGCTGCTACCGGGGAGGGTCATGCCCATGGTCTCGATGGAGCTGGCCATGGTGTTGGCGGTGTACATACCGCCGCAGGCACCGCTACCAGGGCAGGCGTGGCGGATGATGTCGAAGCGCTGCTCCTCGGTGATCTCGCCGGAGATGTACTGGCCGTAGGCCTGGAAGGCACTGACGATGTCGAGAGGCTGGCCGCTCTTGCCGCAGCCGGGCTTGATGGTGCCGCCGTACATCATGATGCTAGGCCTGTTGACGCGGCCCATGGCGATGAGGACGCCGGGCATGTTCTTGTCGCAACCGGGGATGGAGATGTTGGCGTCGTACCACTGGCCGTTCATAACGGTCTCGATACTGTCGGCGATGATCTCGCGGCTCTGCAGCGAGTAGCGCATGCCGCTCGTGCCCATGCTGATACCGTCCGAGACGCCGATAGTGTTGAAGCGGAAGGGCTGGAGGCCGGCCTTGGAGACCGAGTCCCGGATGCGCTCCGAGAGACCCAGCAGGTGCTTGTTGCAGGGGTTGCCCTCGAACCACACCGAGGAGATGCCGACCTGGGCCTTGTTCATGTCCTCCTCGGTCATGCCGGTGCCGTAAAGCATGGCCTGCGAGGCGCCTTGCGACTTGTGCTGGGTGATCTTGTAGGAGACTCTGTTCAAGTGCTCGTCGGCGGCACGGTATGCGGTGGTAGAGAGGAGGCGACTGGTGGTGACAGAGACGTTAGCTTGTGTCATATCATAGCATGCACTCGGCATGCACTCGACGGGTGCGCGAGAGGAACCTACGCCTTGGAGCTCGAGTTGCGCAAGCTGCCTTGGGACAGAGCCCGCGGCGCCCTCGTCCTAAGGAGAGCTGACGAGAACATTGTGTATATGTGTATGTGTGTATGTGTGTATGTGGAAAGTAGTGGCCGATCGAGGGTAGCCCTGGGTTCCGGAGCTGCAAAGACTTTTCTTCCTTCGAGGCCCTGAATGAAGCCCGATTGCTTCAAAAATGGCAGGACCAGGGAAAGAAAACGGTTGAGGATGACTCAACGGGATCAATTGAGGCCGCGCTGACCGCTGTCGCTATTTTATTCCCCAGATCACAGGGACAGTCACAGGGACACGGCGGTTTTGGGGTTTGGCTGCGGTCGCTTATTGCCAGGCTTGGGAGCGAGGTCGGCTTGCCGGGCAAAATAATTTGAGGGATTGGCTGAGCAGTGAGCACCCCGCAAATTTTGGCTTTGAATTCAATTGACTGCCCGCTGATTGGCCCGAGCTCTCCCAGAGCTTTTTCCACCTGCAGCCATCAAATTGATTGATCCCAGGCCCTGCATCGGAGGCGGCCTAGCTTCCCCGGCGAACATCCCCGGACCTGACTGCGGTACGTCAATATCTTGTGTTGTATGAATGTAAGTTATAGCAAGCAACCATCGTCGTTCGGGGATTCAAGATATGTATTCCCAAATTCACTATCTCTGTTCTATATCGTGTCCAAAATGACTTCTTTTTTTCGAGCCTAAACCTCCCAGATAGCCCCCCCAGATCCATCCCTCCCCATTCCACGTCTCCCGCTCAAACACCACTCGCAGCCAGTCCCCTCAAAGGCTCAACAACAGCATCAATAAACCGCCCAAGCGTCACCGTCCGGCTCTTAGATGAATCCCCCGCGTCTTTATCCTCGTCAAATCCGCGCCCAGAGAGACAACAGACCACCACGTCCCGGTACACCCGGCCCATCCGGGCACCCAGCCGCTTCTCGCCGAGCTTCACCAGCTCGTTCCGGATCTCCGCTGCTCCGGTGGTCCGGAAGCGGTCGCTCGCGAGCAGGCCGCGCTCGAGCGGGCGCCACAGACCGATCTCGAGCAGCACCACGCCCAGCCCGTAGTAGTCGTACGTCTGCCGATACCGGCCTGTCCGGCGGTACTCCGGGTGCTGGTACTCCTCCGGGTCGCCGTCCGTGCCGGGCCCCTCGGTCTCCCACCGGCTGCCGTCCGGCCGGCTCTTGTGGAGGCCGACCACGAAGGGCCGCATCGGCGTGGGTGGCTGGTCGAGAGGCTGTGCCTTGTTGTCGCCATCGCCCTCTTCACCGGCAGGTTCGCTTCTCTGCAGCAGGATGTTGTTGGAGTTGAAGTTCCCGTGCAGCCAGCCAATTGTGTGAAACTCCATCATGAACTCGACGAGGGCGAATGCGAGCTTGAATTTTTGCCCCAAGAGCGGTTGCTCGTAGTCCTGAGATGCCCCTTGCTGCTTTTGCATGCCAGCCAAGAGGAGCTGGAGCAGCGTGAGCGGCGGAGAGCCCATGCGTGGCGGGATCTTGTACACGAAGCCGTATCCGAACCTGCCACCACTACTTCCTGGTGCAGGAGCGACTTTCTCAAAGAAGCCGAGGCACTTCAATGCCGACAGCCCTGGCGACCGTCGATCGCTGTTTCCCAGGCTCTCGGCCCGGAGGTTCATCACAAGGCTGCGCTGAGACGGATCCAGCCTCTCCCACGAGGGTTTGTACCACATCCACTCCACCAACACTGCAGATCCTCTGAAGGTGCCGATTGTATGCGGATACCGATCACTCGATAGTGCAGGTCGGATATGAACGTCGCTGGCCGGCACAACCCATGTACTCTTATCTTGACCATCCTCGCCCTCGCCGCCTTCTAGATTCTCGGCCCTCGCTAATTCGAGCTGGATCTTCTTCATCCAAGCCAAGGCCCTTGTTGCCTCTATCATTGGCTGCTCAGTCCGTTGCAGAGCCTTATGTATCTCTAGCAAGTCGTCTTCACTCTCTGTTCTCAACAGATCCTGGCGCCAGTAGTCCTCCGCTTTCGTTTGAATGTGAGACGGTAAGCCATCCCAGAGGTCCGACAGATCCTCGTTGACCTTGTCACATAATGTGGCCCTCAAGCCGCGGTCGAATTCGGTATCAGACGTTGTGCAAGCGCCTCCGGGCTGGGCGACAAGCAACAGAATCTGGCCCAGTGTGTGGAACATGGCAGACATGAGCCTGATAGAGGACTCATACACAGCGTCCAGAAAGCCGATGCGGACTTCTTCCATGCCAGCATGGTCAATGGACAAGGCACGGCCCAAAGCCGAGAACCGGGTCTCTGGCATCCAGAGGTTCAAACTATGGCGCTGAAGTGCACTGTCTCTTCTGGCGCTTGAGATCTCGCCAAACTTGTCTCTGACTGCTTCAAAGTGGGCTCTGAAGCTAAGCCCTGTCAGATGTCGACAGACATGATCCATGGTTGGCCTTTCACTCGGCACTTGGACCAATGTCTTCAAGCAGAGCGCGACAAGTGCTGCCGACAGCGAGTTCTGGGGATCTTTATCATAACCTTGACGGTGTGAACCAGTCAGATCTCGCAGCCAACTGACGACAACTTCCTTCAGATTCCCGTCATTATCGTAGAAGACACTCTCTTCCCAATGCGAGACTCTGCCCGGAGCGAGCCGCTTGTCGCTGAACTCCCTGACCCCGCTCGCCCCTTTGTGCATGTACGTTACGACATCTGCCATCAGACATCCGAATGCCCATGTGTCTATGGGCCGTGCCACGTGTTGTATGCGGTTCTTGTCGTCCATACATTCCGGGGCCAGATAGTCCCCCGTCGTGGGCTTCCAGGGGGTCTGCGACTGCATCTCTATAGATTTGAGGTTGCCGAGGCCGAAGTCGGCCAGTAGGAAGGTCTCGCCGCTGACCAACACGTTGGCGGGTCGGAGGTCGTGGTGGTACCCGACCGCCTCGAAATCAAGACCATGCTGATCTTGCCGGAGACGGAGAGCATGGGCGTGGGAAAGGGCAGAAGCCAGACCCCGCAGGGCAGCGAAGAACGTGAAGTCGTGCTCAAATTTACCTAAGCGCTCCTCTCTCTGGAGGAACTTTTGGAGGTTTGTTTCTATGAAAGGGAACAGGAAGTAGTGCTGTTTCTGGTGGGTGTAGGAGCCAAGCAGCCTGATGATATTCGGATGTCGTAGTTGGTTCAGTAGTCGAAGGCATGTCTGCTCCCGCAGATAGACCCTGTCGTACTCTTCCCTTGAGCGGGCAGGTCGCAGTTTCTTTCGGACCACGTGCACCTTCTCGCTCTTCATTCCGCGTGAGTGTTTTAGCACGGTAATCAAAGGAACTCTGATACATAATAGATAATGAGAACTAACCTGGTCTCTTACCGCCAGCAACTCTTGCTGAGAAGCCAGGATCGCAACCTGGTCTACGTCTCCGTATCCGCCCGAGGCTATATGCTCGATCTCACCGACAAATGGCAAGATGACGTTCTCATCGATATTGCGGTGATGCTCAGACATGTTCGACGGAAAGACATACGGCAACACAGACCACTGCATCTCGAGTAGTGCGCCAGTCCCAGTGATCTCGGCGTCGCCAGCGTAGTTGGCACTAGCGATGACTTTCCTGACCTGTTCTCCTGTTAGGGGGAGACGGTCATCCAGGGTGCCGCAGTTGCGAAAATGAACGATGAGGTTCTCCATCCGCATGCGGATGAGTGCCGCGAACAGGCGACGTCCGTCGGTGAAAACGTCTTTCGACAAGCCGATCCGTTGGTGCTCAGGACAGGACATCTCCGCCACGGCTTTCTCGACTGCAGAAGAAGTGAAGATGGCATTCAAGCTCGCCCGGGGCAGAAAGTACCGCCGTGACTCGGAACAGACCATGTTGAGCTCGACCTGGCTGCGCAACAGCTCGACAACGGGCCTGCTGGGTATTGTCGACGGCAATGACATCGTGTTGACGAGCAGTGTTTCCATACGTATTGGTATGTGTCAAATTAGTTGAGACTTTGCTCTAGACTCCTTTCCATTGAGGATCATGGTGTGAGAATGCACGACGAGGCTCAGCCTGGTGGAAGGCAATATTGCAATGAAAGTCAGATGGCTACCTAGGTACCTCTCGGTCCTATTTGCTCCTTAGTCATAATGTGCAACCTCGTCAGCAGTCACCGGCGAGACGCATTTCACAGGCGCGCTTATCCACCAAACAAATCTGCCCGGCCCCTCCACCACAATCACACTCTTGGACACAGCCCCTCCTGGGCAGCAGCTGTGAGCTCTACTGAGTATTCATGACGGAGGCGATCTCCGCCTACAAGATCGAAAGTGCTCAGTCGACTGTCTCGAGTTGTCCGCAAAATGGAGGAGACGACGCGTCGGACTTACCCTAGTCAGAGCCCGGGGGGCTGTCACTTCCACATTATCACCCTGGGCCTGCGCGGTATTGGTCAGCAAGGCACGCAACAACCGTGGCGGCGGGGTCGACTGGCGAGAAAACATCCGCACTTTGATACTGTAATGGCTGGCCGAGCCGAACAGAGAAGCCAGCAGAGAGTCCAGCTTGGAGCGAATCAGGTATCGCGCCTCGAGGAAGGTGGTTTCAGCCATCGTGCTGGATACGATGGAGCGCTGGGGGGGCTTGAAATGCAGCTCGGTGCTTGCTAGGACGCTTGGCAGGTCGTCAAAAGCAAATGCGGATTGCACTGGTCTGTCTGACTGAACATCCGTGGCGACCGTCGTGTGGCGATGAGGGTCGCAGATATACCATGGCCAGGTATCGAACCCGGCGACACAGCCCCGATCCTGTCTGACGGTTTGGGCGTATCGATTCGCTACCCGCGCCTCCAATCCATTGCATTTGATGGGGCTGCATATCAAGCATCGGCAAATCTGGCGGCCTACGAGATCCATGTTGCGCGATGTTTGGCCACGGCTTGGGGCCAATCAGGGACAAGAGCGAGGCCTCGCTTTGGGCCAAGGGTCAACCTTTGGGCAGCCCTCGACAGAATGTATTTCATCTTGCAAAGCGCATTGCTGGCGCTCTCGCTCTCTCTCGCTCTCTTCTCGCATTGCCTTTGAGCGACAGGACTGCGACACGGTCTTCACTCGAGCTCGAGAATGACACAGTATGATTCAACTCTCCCCGTCTCCCATGTTGAAAGCCCAGCAAACGCTGGTCAGCTTTTACAGAACTCAGTCGACCCTGATCCAAGAGCGTCTGAAAAGGACGATCGCTTCTGGCAAAATTTTGAAGCAGAAGCCCCCAACCTGTTTGTCTCAGAGGACAGTCTTTGTGATGCAGGAGTCTTGGAATACGTTGCACAGGAAGAACAGTGCTCCTCGTCAAAAGTCTCAACATGGTATCAGCCGATGGACAGGATAAAGAGTGCGTCAGGGCTGAAGCGTGCTTTAGAGGTGAGCACATCAGACTCGTGCAAAATGAAAGCCATACAAACCAAATACTAACTGGCAACTCAGCGAGAGCTCCCCAGCCGCTCTTCACGATTAATGTAAGCTAAGTTCGATGGACTCATAGTATCGTCAAAACACGTTATACTAATTCTAAGTATTAGCTTGCTGAGCCGCGCCAACTCTTGGAGTCGTATCAAAGTCACAACAGCCATGTTCAAGTCTCTTTACAACACCATACACGTCAGCCCATTCTTTCTCAAGATCATGACGGGGTTTGGACGCAAGATATCGTCAACGGATGAGAACTTCATGACATGCTATACCCAGCTTTCCCGACCTCACGACCTTCAGAAAGAGAGGTCTCAGAATGCCAAGGATGCATCTCATGGCCCAGTTTTGCTTAGTTGCAAGGAAATACCAGGCACCACCGGTATGCTTCCTCTACTACTTTGAATTTACATCTATCAGCCAGAGTCTCTAATTAAGAATTGGCTTTAGAAACCGGCTACAACTTGCGCCATTTCGAGAGGCATGGCCGGGATCTCTGTAATCCTTGGTCATGTAGACAGTCGGCCATTCACCACTCGTATAACTTTGAGACGAAGCAATCTTCCTCAATTTTGATACAGCCTCCCCGTTCTCTCAACCTGGACTCGCAGACACTTGGTCCCATCATTCCAGATCATCCTCTCGGAATACACGCCGAGCTGCTTCTCTCCAGCACCACAGAGTGGAAGCAGTATCTGAATGATTTGTCAGATCGGTTGACATCTCTCGTAAGTTGATCTTCTTTTGAGAGCATTACTACAATTCTCTGTGCAATAGTATGGTAACTTTGAAATGTTTCTATTAGTACACCAAGATAGCTATCAGTAAATCCTTCACCGAATTTCAAGTCGACTTTGCTTCTACGCAGAAAACGCTGCAACTTCGACTCGAGTTGCACCAAGCGCACTCGATTCTAGAGAACACCCTCGACACTATAAAGACGCTGAATCAGCACGAGGGTTTAATCGCCAAGTTCTGTACAACTCCAGTCGGGCACCGAAGACAGTTCCGATGTGCCTTGGACAACATCTCCCGGGAGTTGCGAGGTCATCTTCGCACAGTACAGGTGCTTCTATCTTCGTCCGACGAGATCAAACAGATGGTAGAGACACCCCTTCTTCTCCTTCTTCTTCTGGGCCGTTTATTGTGTTGCTCACACGATGAATCCATAGTCCGACAATATCGTCCTGTTCCGCGGTCAAGAAGTCCAGTGTCAGAACGGTGCTCAACTCGCGCAGCTTGCTCACATCGACCTGGCGGAGACCAAGACCATGTCTGCCTTGACCAACAAGACAGCCCAAGACTCGCAGACAATGCGCATAGCGACTGTAGTTGCCATGCTCTACCTCCCTGCAAACCTCGTTCTTGTACGTCGCTTCCGTTAATATTCAGATCCTAGCCTACGCATTTCCCCGCCCTATCATGCAAATGACGAACTGAGCAGTCTCATGTTCCTAAGAGAGTACCGGTCTGACCTTATTACAGTCATTCTTCAGTACTTCGCTCGTAGATTTTGGTGGTGGCAAGGGTGGAACGAGCTCAGATTCAGGTGCCGGGACCATGAGGATCCACAAACAAGTATGGATAGCGGTCGTCTTGACATTTGCACTTGTCATCTTCACGGTCTCGGTCTCTTTCTGGTGGGAGCGGAATGGGAGGCGACGGCGCTGAGACAACAATGGCATATCATATCCCACAGGCTACCATGTCGGAGCGAATCGGTTGCAGACATCTTACGTTGCCTCTTTACCTACTTGTAGTCACACAGCACATTTTATAGTTCACCAGATTTGCAATTAGTGTCGTGACTCGGTAAGAAGATAGACTGAGAAACTCGCAACTACAAAATAGGATATGCAAGCTTGCCTATTATATGACCGCACTCGGTTGTCTTATCGTATCCATCTCATCTCCGCTGCAAGCGAGGGCCTTTCATCCGCCCATCTCTGCCCAGGAGACTTACTATGTCATCTGCGAAGATTCTCAGCTAGATGCCTGTAATTCCGTCGAAGAAGCGCCGGTTGATGATCCTCGCTCTCCTCCTCCATCGCCTGCTTGAGCAGCACCGTGGCCTCCAGGCCCCGGCCCTGGCCCATGTAAGCCCACGCCAGCCCGACCCGGGCGGACCTCATGTCTCGAGGCTCGACGACGGCGGCCGCGCTCCGGTCCTGGACCACCGACTGGTAGAGCTCGGCCGCCTCCTGCCACCGCTTCTGCTTGAGGTACATCTTGGCCAGCCGCTCGCGGCAGTCCATCAGCCTGAAATGCTTTGGCCCCCACACCCTTTCGCCCTTCTCGATGACCCGGGTCCACAGATCCTCGGCCTCGCCCCACCGCCCCTGGCCGGCGAGAGCTGCTGCCAGGCCAGACTCGCTGTCGAGCGTGAGGCGGTGCTCCTCCCCCCACATCTCCCTCCTCGCCTCCAGGACCTTGCTGTGCAGCTCTTCGGCGTCCTGCCACCGCTCCTGGATCCAGTACGCCCATGCCAGCTCAGACATGCTCTTCAGCGTGGTCGGCGCCTTCTCCCCTTGCTTCACCCTGCGCTTATCGATAACCTGCGCGAGTAGAGACTCGGCCGTCTTCGAGCGACCTTCGCTCCGCATTGTCGTCGCCAGCAGCTCCATGACGTCCAGGGTTCTCAGGTCGTCTTCCTTGAACACCTTGACCCTCATATCCAAGATGCGGTTGAAGAGCTCGTTGGCGTCGGCCAGCCGCCGGCGGTTCCAGTATATAATGGCCAGCTTCACGATGCCCTCCATCACCAACGGATGCTCCGGTTTCATTATCTTACCCTGGGTCTCGACGGCCTCTTCCTGCAGCCTTTCGGCCTCTTGCCACCGTCTCTGTTCTTGGTACGTTAGGACGAGCGATTGCTTGCTCGCAATCGTCTCGGTATGATCGTCGCCCAGGAGGTCCTTTCTAGCCTGCAGAATCTCGATCTGCAGAGCCTCAGCGTCCTCCACTCTATCCCGGCCTCTGTAGACCACAGCCAGGCTCCCCAGGCACAGCAGTGCATTCCTATGTCGCTCGCCAAATATCGCTTGCGTGTCGGCCAGAGCCTTGGAGAGCAGTGCTTCGGCATCATCCCATCGGTCCACCGTCGAATACATCACAGCCAGGTTCCTCATGGCCCTCAACACATCCGGGTGGCCAGCCGGGAGGATTTGCCGGTACGTCTCCAATGTCCGCTCCTGCAGACTGATCGCTTCTTCTTCGCGACCCGCCTCACAGTACGTGTTGGCCAGGTTGCACATGGAAGCCAGTGTGTATTCGTGCTCTGGGCCAAGCACCTTGGTCGACGTCTCCAGCACTTGTCTTTGCAGGCTTTCGCATTCGTCGACCCGGCCCAGGCTGGAATAAATCAACGCCAATACATTCCACGCTTGCAGCACTTCCTCGGACTCGTCCCCCAGCATTGTGTACAGTTTCTCGGCGACCTGTTCCTGTAATGCCAGAGCCTCCAGCCAGCGCTCCTGGACAAGATATAGTCCTGCGAGTTGGCTCATGATTTCGAGAGTCGGCTGGCTCTCACTTCCCTTCTCCCGTTCAATCTTCTGGTAAACCTCTTTTGTAAGAAGCTCCGCCTCTTCGAACATGGACTGCGCCATATAGACCGCGGATAAAGCTTGCGAGACGTCGTTAACAGGGTTGCTTTGAGCGCCGAGAACAGCAGTCAAGTCTCGTCGTTCCTGGTTGAGGTAAGCTTCTGCCTCTGCCAGCATTCTATGTTCCAGGTAAATATTGGCAAATGCTTGTGCCTCTGTGCCGACAGATCCAGATTGCGAGAGGTTGTAGAACCACTGCGTTGCACGGTATCGCTCGTTCTCGAGTCCTTGGCGTAAAATGTCTTGAAGATCTTGTACTTTTAGGTTGCTTCCCTGGAGGATGGACTCCGCTCTACTCTCGTCCCTTACGAAGCCGAACCCAGTATAATAGCACAAGGCCAACTGGACTCTGAACTCGGCCGGATTGGTTTGGTGTCGGTCACGGATGCAGTGAGCAATGTGTGAACGTAACCTATAGTCACATCGATGGAAGGACTGAAAATTGTGCTCAATCTGTGTTTTTCATAGACAATCCTGCGTCAGCTTGACATTCGTCCAATACAATGCTGACTCTAAGTCGTATATGTGAGGTAATTACCTTGAAGTCCGACGCTGAGACTTGAAGACTGAGATCTCGTGCAAGATCTTGGCGGGGAGACATATCTCTGATCCTATCAATGGTCTGGTCAGCTTTTGAGCTATGCATGGTTCCACTCTTCCCTACCATGTTGGCTGTACGCCCCTCAAGAATTCTTGAAGATCGACTCTATCCCGATCCAAAGGATCAGTGCTCAAACCCAACTCAAAGAAGTTGGTAAGCGCATATCTTTGACCCTGGTCTAGAGAGCCAACCTCCAGTTCCAGCAGACGCTGCGCAACGACCGGAAGAGTTCTGTCAAGCTTGAGATCATTGATATTCTCCATCGCTGCATCCAAGCCTACTAGATCAGGACAAAACTGTTTGACATCTTCAGCTCTTGGTTTGGCACCCATGAGATAGGGCTCGAAGAGGATCCACAAACACAACATGGACAAAGAGAAGATATCAGCCCTCATAGCCTCGGTCAGTGTCCACTCCCGTGACAAGCGATCATGCTCTGGGGCATTCCACGGCCGCGACATCGGCAATTTAAGCCGGCACGAGGCTTGTCCGGAGAGTTGGAGGGTAGAAAAGCCAAAGTCGGTCACTCGAGCGTTGCAGCCTTGTCCATCACTCTCCGGGAATACAAGGACATTTTCGGGCTTGATGTCTCCGTGGAGTATGCCTGGAGTTGCGAGTCATTTCATTTGTCCACAAGCCCCGACAAAATGAATCTTACCATGCATATGCATATAGGCGATAGCCCACACCACGTCAGCACACAGCCTGATCCTCGCATCCATCCCCGTGGCCCTGCCTACAGGAGACGCCAGAAAGCTCAAGAGATCCCCAAGGCTGCTTTTCTCGAAGACGAGCACCGGCCACGGGCGCTGGTCACCCGGGGATACCTCAAAGCAGATACCCTGCAGTTGAGCGATATTGGGATGTCTGCGGATGATGGGGTGGAGCAGAGCAACGACCTCAACCGTGAGGAGGCGGAAGACCTGCGACTCTGGCAGGGCGCTGACAGCGTCCATCAGAAGCTGATAGGAGTCGAGTCCATACTGTGTCGAAGCATGGTTATGGGGCTGTGTCGCGACCAACTGGTAGGCGACGTGTTTGAATGCGAGGCTGGTGTTCACGTTGACGGGGGTCTCGAGCACTCTTGCAGTCCCGCCCTGCCCGATGGGATCCCGACCGTGCTGCCATGAGATTGACAGGATCTGAACCTGGAACGCTTGGACTGTTGCCAGGAACTTGAGCAGATCATATTCTGTTCGCTGCTTATGGTCAGAAGTCGATACAATCTGCAGTGTCGAGGGAGGCAGCGCTGCCGTGAAGCTGGAGGCGTAAGACATCGAGGATGTGTCTTGAGGGTCTGAGCTATGATATGGTGTATGAGTGCTTGTTCGTGGGGACTACGCTCTGGAAGACAGGATTTGGCCAGCGATAGAAAAGATGTCAATCTCCATCGGCGGGCACAACCCGGGACGATGTGTCAGCCTTACTGCCCGTTCAGTGCAGGATGATTGGGCAGCTACGGAATTCAGTAACCACAATAGTTTCGTCTAGGATCCAATCACGGTGTGATCTGCTTCACGCCCAAAAGGGACATTCAACCGGCAATGCTGGAGAGGTATTATAAGAACGCACATTTCCTTCCAGCTCAGAGTCAATTGAGCCTTGTACATCTGATGGAAGGCCAAGATGAATTGGCAAGGACTAGGAGACCACGAGAGGTTTGTACCGAACAAGTGCCAGTTGGTCCGAGTCCTAGTTTCTTACGGCGGTCGGCAACATTCCATACTCTCGCCCGTTACTTACGAGCCTGACAACATGAAGGCCCAAAAGTCTACGGCGACAAAATTATCTCGTGGGATTAATAGAGACCGAGATAGGGACATACAACGGCACGGCCGCACGGGAGACAACCTTGGAAGTGTGGAGGTGGCGTGTGGATCACCACTGTCTTGTCCACCACCGCCTGATTGGCCCACACTTTAATGGGCTCGGTCGCGTCAAGTCGCGTCTCCCACACCACCCACCACCACACTTTTACACGACACTACCTGCTACCAGAACGTTGCCCATCGTTCATGACCAACTCTGCGATTCACGACACGCAGAATCGCCGACGGTCACGATGCTCCGACACGACCACAACCGGATCGAGCCCAAGAGGCGGAGCACTTTTGACTATCGCAAGAAGCAATTCGCCGAGGCGTCGTACAAGGAGACGCAGTATCCCACGCGTCTCAACTTCTACTCGGCCCCGCCCACCGCCGACATCACCCTCGAGCAGTTTGAGCAATGGGCCATTGACAGGTTACGCAGTACGGCATCTCTACCACAAAGCACTGCAGTCGCCGCCGCTGACACAAAGGGCCTCTCTCCCTTTCCCATCTAGTCCTCGCCGAGCTGGAAGCATGCTCCTTCCGCAACAAGACGCCCGCCGAGACGGCGACGCACATGAAGCCCCTGCTCGACAAGTACCTGCTGCTTGAGTCCAACAGCTCCTCCTCGACGCAGCTCTTTGCCCAGCGCCAAAAGGACCACTACAGCCACTTCATCCTGCGCCTCGCCTTTGCCCAGACCGAGGACCTGCGCCGCCGCTTCACCCGCGTCGAGACCATGCTGTTCCGCCTGCGCTTCAACGCCGAGGACGCCCGCGACCGCGCCGCCTTTGTGCAAGGGCTGAACCTCGACTGGGAGACGGTGTCGGACAAGGAGAAGCAGGAGCTGGCGGTCGAGCTGGCGGCCACCAGCGGTGCCGCGTACGGCCGCAGGGCCGCCGCCGCCCCTCCGCCGGAGGAGGAGACGTGGTGCAAGGTCGACTGGGAGCGCGTGCCGGACCTGGTCGAGGGCCGGAGGGTGTTTCTCAAGGCGGGCAAGGCATACGTGCCGGCGCGGGAGCAGGCGAGCATGGTCATCGCCGAGTTTACGTCTAGGTTGGAGCGGGCACTCGAGGTGAGCCAAAACGCTAACCCAAGAGCAACAACTACATCTTGGAAGGGGGAAAAAATACGACAAGTGGCAGGGCATCAACTAACGTATCTCGGCAGCTCACCGCGCGCGCGCTGCCCCGCCTGGACGAAGACGACCGGCTGACGCCCATCCTGAACCACCTGTCCAAGAACTTCGTCACGCCCGACGCCGCCTACAGCGACACGGCCAGCAGCCTGGGCGGCGCCGAGATCTCGGCGCGCAACATCGACGCCCTCGCGCAGCACATGCCCCTCTGCATGCAGAACCTGCACCGCACGCTGCGCCGCGACGCCCACCTCAAGCACTTCGGCCGGCTGCAGTACTCGCTCTTCCTCAAGGGCATCGGCCTCGGCCTCGAGGAGGCCCTCGCCTTCTGGCGGACGGCCTTCAACAAGATCACCGACGACACCTTCAACAAGGAGTACCGGTACAACGTGCGCCACGTCTACGGCGACGTCGGCGGCGACCAGAACCGCCGCGGCGGCGGGTACAGCCCCTACAGCTGCCAGAAGATCCTGACGGAGCACCCGCCCGGGCCGGGAGAGGCGCACGGGTGCCCCTACCGGCACTTTGACGTGGACAACCTGGGCGCGCTGCTGCAGCAGGTGGGCGTCACGGACCGGGCGGTGCTGCAGGGCGTCCGGGAGGACAAGGAGAAGCAGAAGTTCCACATGGCGTGCAACCGGCAAGTTTCTTTTTGTGTTCTCCCCATCTGGAAGTAGATGATGAGTCTGGTGCTAACGATGGGGTGTATCTTGCAGTGTCTTTGAGCACCTCCACAGAAAGGAGATTGAAAAGGCCAGGGCGGACGGCGTCATGACGGCCAACCAGCTCGAGACCATCGTCCACCCCAATGAGTATTTCAAGCGGAGTTTCCTGCTCAAGAACATGGGCAAGAACGGGGACGATGTTAAGATGGAGGGCTAATAAGATTGTCACGAGAATGGACGTGGGAATATAGGGCACGAAAGCATGTTTTTTTTTTTTTTACTTTTGGACGATTGGAAATACGATGGATGCATGAGCAAGGCATGTCAGAACTGTTCACTGGCCTGGTCACTTGTATTTGACAGGATAGGCACTCGGCGTTTTACGGAGTTTTGTTCTAGTCGTCCTGGTACGCTGATAATACAACAAAGCCTGTTTGAGATATGAAAATGCCCCGAGAGATCTTGACTTGTAAGACCATACCTAAGACGTCTGGAGTTCCTCATGCAACTTACAAAAACGGAACGACCAGGCTGGTGGATACGCTCCTTGTCTGCAGTTGACAGAGTCAGAGCTGAGACGGACCTCGACTCTGCTTGTGTTCAGCCACATAATGCTTCTTGGGGACCATCTCAAATCATGTCATGGCCAGGGCCAGAATCACACAAGAGGGCAAGAAGCGGGCTTGCTGCAGAGTCATGCACATTGCCCATCCCATTCTCGCAACAGCAGTTCGCTCGCTCTCACACGAATTCAAAGATCTTCACCGGCGCCTCCGGAGACCAAAGATCGGTGCGATGGGCCATTTCGTGAGAGAGATCGAAAGCCCTCTTTCTTCCAATGCCCGTAAAAGTTGCCTGACGGGAAGAGCCGTCCAGAACTGACACGGCCGTGAAGAAGGAAAAAAAAACGCCACTGGTGCCCGTGGCGCATAGCGTAGCTGCTCGGGATGGTACGATCCCCCCGTAGGCTAAGAATCTAGACCTTTCGGATCGTCCGCTCACCTCGAACAATACCTGCTGGGAATGGGGGACTTGGAGTTGCTCATGCGATCTGCGATGTGCGTTCCGTCGTACGCAACGCCCCCATATGCATTCCGGGGGCCTCGGCAGATGATGTTTGTGCTAAGGGAGTGAGCTTTAGTCTGATTGGGAATACCTTCAAGATCAGATCGAGATGGGACATGTGAGGGGGTGTGCGTTTTGTGCGTCCGGGCAAAAAGCTCCGAGTCGGGCGCCAAGCGTGGCCGAGCATAAGGTAGAACAGGGGGATCAACATCTGAGGTACGTCAAGTGAAGCTATTCACAGAAGATGGAAGAAAATGGCTCGCAGGACGTCAGTCACCTTGCAGGTGTGTGGGGGCGAGCAATAATACTCTTGTCCGCCAAAGACAAAAAACAATGGTTTTTTTTTCCCGTGGTGTTTTGACTTGAAAGCGCAGGGTGGTGTGTGTAAGTGCTTTGATATCACACACCCACGTCCACATCCGATCCGATCACAACCCTTACCTTTGCTCCATTCCCATCAGTTATCGTCCCTTGAAAAAAAGAGAAGAGCAAAAAAACCAGGAATGAAAGCAGACCCTGCGTCACTAATGGAAGCACGAAGGGTAAGGGTATGTGCCTAGTAGGTGTAGCGATAGCGAAACGAAAAGAAGGGGTCGTGGGCAGAGACGCTACAACATCACGAACTACCGATCCGAGGCGGGTACCAGTGTTGAGACTCACCGTTTTCTCATCGATTTCCCAAAGCCCTGATTATCCTATTGGCCCCAGGCCCAGCGCCGAAACGGTGAGAGAGAAAGGGATCGTCAGCCGAAAAGCCTGCTTTTTGGGGAAAGGTAATGCCGTGCCTATGCCTGTGCGTGGCAGTCGTCGCTCGAAATCGGCCGTTTTGCAGCCAAATCTTCGATCGTGGACTCCTTCATCAGGCCCCACTGATCGAGGATTTGGCAAAAACGGAGCCAAGGAGGAACGACACACAAGGGAGCGAGGGAGGGAGGGGCGTGTCAAAAACTGAAATGGGACGCGATGATTTGGTGGGCGATGGCGCGCCCCGCCCCGGACCTGTCAGAAAACGGAATGCTGGGCTTCAAATGTTGGAACGGCGTGCTGCAGAATGAGGTCACAGGCCACCTCTAAAACACCTCCGTCGGTATTCGCGCCATTTCAACCTCTTTTCTTCCAGGGCAGGCACCCGGCACTATTGGACGGAAAGAGGGGGGAAAAGCCACACCCCCCCCTTCTAAACCAGACCGATGCATTCCGAGAAAATTGCGAATGCCCTCACTTTCTTTTCCCTCCTCTCTTGCTGCATGCACCGGCTCTTCTGCTAGTTAATTTCGGCGCTTACCACGCCAAGGGGGGGTTGGGCGTGCTTGCAGCACTGGAGGTGCCCACGCGCCCCTGGCCGACTCTTTTTTTCCCGTATCGTGCATGCGGCGCCTTGACTTCCCACACAGCTACAAGTACATTGAACTCACAGAGACAATGCCCCATGTGCTGCTGAAGTTTCTTGATCAGGAAGATTCATTCAAAGACAGCCTCTATCCTTCTTGTGGAAGGGGCACCGACAACGTTCTCGCCCGATCTCTGTTAGATCTGATCTCTCGAGCTGAACGGTGGGAACTGATCAAAACTCTGAATCCGAAGCTTGACACCTTGTGTTCAGCTGTGACGTACCGGTACCGTACCCGCACCCGCACCCGCCGCCAGCGCTACGTCCCAGAGTTGTCTAGACTCTGCTCTTCACAGCTCAAACTAACTTCAAGTACCCTCGTTTCGACGGGTTCTTCCACTTCACTCTTCCCAAGAACGGACTGATGCAATTCCGCGGGCAGGCACTGGTACAAGTACTGGGACAAGGGAAGGGGGAGGGGCGTGTAAACCTACCTGGCGCCAGGCCATTTCATCATTTTCTCGGTGTGTGCTACCTTGCGAACTGTTTGTGTGATGGCAGGCTGAACCTCCTGCCCACAACACAACCCCGGCCAGCAGAACAGTCCAGACCGGATCGTCGCTTCTGACCTGGCCTGGCCCCCTTCCCTTCCCGTGCCCATTCTCCCTTGCTGGACACACGCCCAACCACCAAGACGGTGGAAACCAGAAGCCATTTCCGCTTGCTCCGCACATGACATCGTCGTGCATGGAGGGTGCACACCGGCGCGCCGATAACCCCTGGATCTGTGACCCAATCGTCATGGTGAGCTTGCAGACCTATCCAGTTGCGGCGGATAAACTTGGTAAAAGCGCATCAAAAGGAATTCAAGGGTCATTTTCCCTCACACTTACAAGTAGATGCAGCTTCGAGGATCTAACCAAGCTCCTCCGTAGCTTTGCATGCACACAACGGCTGTGTTCACTGGGTACAGTAGTTAGTGTGCTACCGAGGCTGATCTTTGCCCTGACAGGGTCGACGGACCCGACCAGTCTCGCAGACACGAGCTTCTCTTTATTTATGGAAAGAGAATATGCATGCATGCGTGACTGGGCTGTGGCTTGCGACTCTTTTGACGCCGGTGAGGTTTCCCTCGCGCATGTATTGGTCTGCTAAACGGAAAAGCTCACCAAGATCTGGGAAAGCTTCCCCAGAGACCCGTCTAAGCTGCCAGGTCCAACTTCTCCACGCTCCACCACCACGCACACATTCCCAGACAACGATCCCTTGCCTCATCATCGCCAGGTACGGACACCTATCCCACGCCCAGCTATCTTGCAAAGGTAGAGGAGGCCGCCCCCCACCTTCCAGACTGCAAGTGTTTGTCAATGGTAAAGGGGTGGTTATGTTGTTGCAAGTGCGGCTTAAACTGCTCCCACACTTACACACAGCCCGGCGGTGTGTGTGCTGTACTTGCATGCCCGTCCCGGTCAACAGGGCCGTGCAACAAATGGGGGACCTGGATGGGCTGCATTGCATCAATTTGTCCTGCAGAGCACCACTCTATATTGCAGCAAGGCCGACCGCATAGGTCAACACACCTAACCAAGGACTTATCACTTGTCACCCACAACTCTGCGCGCGCATTATGCCTCCAGAAACAGAGCAAAAGACATGCAAAACGGAAAAAGGGACGAAGACGGAGACGTTGTGGACAGCCTCGCTGGCTCTCAGCAATTGGAGACTACTTTTTGCAGACGATACCCCAGGGTCTCAAGCCACTTCGCTAAAAGGGAGGAGGTGTTTCATTCTCCTTCGTGACTTGGCAGGCAAGCCACATGAAGCCATTCCAACTCTACCCAGAGACCCTGACTCGTAGCTACCTACCTCTACACTGCTCTGCTCTACTGACTCCAATGGTCCAGCCCTCACTTCCCCACAGGGAGGGCATCTAATCCATTCCTCCCTTTCTGTCCTCCTTCCCAGTCTGGCAAAAACCCGGCAGGTCTTTGCGCCTGTCACTCTAGCACCGGGCCCAGTCCTCCCCCCCCCAATCCGGGAGATGGCGTGCTGCATGTGTGTCGTCAGTCTGGCGGAGTTTGCTGTTCCCAGGCTCTCCTCCTAAATGACCTGCCAGACTAAAGGGCTAGACAGCGGGGGTGGTGGGTGGTGGTGTTGTTGTTGTTAGTTAGCTCGACTTACACCGGACGGACGCGCTTACCACACCCCCCAACCCGGCAGGCTGGTGAGAGTAGCGCCGGAACCCTTCATTTGCGCATTCCTTGTTTCTTTGGGCTTCTCACCAACTAGGTAACTAGTCCCAGGGCGAAAACGTCAGACAAAAACTTCAAGCCACATTGCCCACCGACGACTAGATAGTCTCACAAATGGCGCAATTGGGAGGAACTCAACTACCTACCTACCCTGGTACCCCGTGACGTACCTATCGTGAAGCTTCAAATGGGGTCCTTTTAAAACGAGGAAAACAGGGGACCACCAGCCGGCGCGAAGAGGGTCTGACGGTGCTAAATTTGAGCCTTTGTCTGACACGAGTACCACAGGTAGGAATGTTTCTGTTCTGGTGCCAACCAGTCGGGGCTACCGTGACGGGCGCTGTTCCGCTCTCGATGCGGAACATACCTCCTCCCTCCCTCCCTTCCTTGGCTTGTCGTGCAAAGAAACACTACACTCCCACATGGGACTTGCCGTCCAAGCTCCCGCTGTCCCAGTAGTAGCTCTGGACCCTTGGATTTACGGCAGCTGCTAGGTAGGCTTGCCTCCCCCCCATCTACAGAGTACCTAGGTAGCTTCAAGACACAAAAGCCGTTTCCTTGTGCTACTTACTGCTGGTCACAACAAGTGACATGTCACCTTTGTGCGAGTTCCTCCCCAAGCCAGTCGCTCTCTCGAAACACAAGACTGACTGATGGTGTGCGCCTCGGTCACACATAAGCCTACCTAGTAGTGAGCAATGCATACCCTACCGTACCCTACATGGACAGTCTCACTCATCTCAGATGAATCAGGATATGCATTCGTTCTTCGTGACTTTGTTTCATTTCAATTGTTTCATACTCTTGCCATCTGTGCAAGACAAGAGAAGAAGAATAAATCGGGGGTAGTAACTAAAAAAAGGAGGAGGTATCTAGTCATGATAATTGAACAATGCCCCAGAAGATGATCAAATCATAATAATGCACCCACCCCTCGTGTATATGTGTGTGCGCCGTGTACAATCCCCCCCAATTGATGAAAAAGAATTCGAGGTGTAGATCCCGCCCAGTTTATCTCGTTACAAGTACCAAAGAAAATTCCAGCCCCATGATTTTGGTTCATAAAAACGCTTGTCAGATAAAATGAGACCCGTTTATCCCTCTCAAGTGATAGAAAACGCCTCGCTAAAAAAAGAGAAACAGCTGGGGGGCTAGTAAGGCATGAGAAAAGCAAGTCATCATGAAGAGAACACAAAAAGTAAAATCTTGCCTGCCAGCCACCGAAATTGACTCGGGCGGGCAGGGGAGAAAAACAAGAAGAAGAGAAAGAAGAAGAGAAAAGCGACCAGTCCAGGCGTCGTCGCTGCGAATGATTCAAGCTGAAACAAGACGAGGAGGGTCCACCATCCCCAAAGAGGCCAAGAAGAGGAGCCCGAGAAAGAGTCACACGCGGAGAGGGAAAGCGAGGCTATTCCCAAAATTCCGACCGCGGGTTGCTCCACCCACTTTGTTGCCCTGACCGTGGCATGGACTATCGTCTTGCGCCGGGACAGAAGAAAGAAAAAAGAAAGCAACAAAGTTCGGGGCGACGTCACCGGGCTTCGAAGCCACTTTGAGGGGGACAGGGTGCAGGACGCGCGAGGCGCTAAGCTCGACTCCTGGGCGAGCTAGACGCCAGACGGGTCTAGACAGGCCGGAAAGTGGTCTGGTGCAAGATGGCGTTGGAATGCAATCCAGGTCTCGGAGGCGTAACAATAGTTGCACCAGTAGCCAGCGACCGGTAGCAAAAAGGTGGCGATGTCTTTCAGGTCGCGAGCCGGGCACTCAAGTTGGGGCGTTTGCATGCAATCGTGCATTGCGTTGAGGCGGCGACGAAGAAGAAGAAGGGAAAAGCAGATCGTGCAGCTGCATCATGTCGTGGAATGCCAGATGCAAGGAAAGCCCTGAATATCCTTACACCGAAGAACCAGGCGCTGGTGGGAAAAGGCGAGTCGTATTCCGCAAATAGAAATCCAGGGTGGAGGTGGGCGCTCAGGGTTACTGGCCAATTGCTTGAACCCCCGCGCACTGCCACTCATCCACCCCAGTACCAGTAGTACCACGAGCGCAACGACCACCGGTGGATATCCAACAACTTTGTTTGCACAAAGGTCGTCCAAATTGGTCCAGTGAAATGCGTGCCGACAGCGGAGAAAAACACGTTGTTCAACAACGTATGTTCTGAGTGGTTTCTGCATCCCGTCCCAAGTGACAGGTAATGTGCAAGGAGACTGTTTCGGCAGTCCCGAGGGCGGGTAAGAGTAAGCATCTGCATCTCCCGGATCATCCGCCATCCTTGCCTTGCATGACCGATGCATGCAGCACTCGTAACCCTTCGATGCGAATAGATAGGCGGTCTGCTTTTTGTGATTCGAAGGGGCGTGTGGTTCAGAAGGACCAGAAGTGGAAGTACCAGAGATCCCTGAATCATACCGAAATTTTTGTCCAACGAGATATCGAGATAGCAGTCCATACCGCCCGTCTTCTTCCGCGTGTTATCCGTGCCTCCAAGAAGGAAACCCTGTCCTCCTCCGGCGGAGGTTGTTGTTGTTGTTGTTATGGTCCGTCGTGGATGTCCTAAACCGAAAGAGTCGTGATAGTGGCCGGTTCCCATGCGTATGTCTCCAATTTTGCGTTGCGTTGCGTTGCGTGTCCGTCTTAGCAGGCTGCTTTCCTTCAGCTTCATTTGTAGCCCACCATCTTGGCGCAGCGCTGGCAGTAGTAGATGTTGGTGCCGACACGCACCATGCCCGTGGCGCTCACGTCGTCCGTGGACACGGTCTCGACGGAGCGGGCGCAACGCAGGCAGCGGAGCACCTCGACGGAGACGGCGGGCCTCTGTGCGGCTTCCATGCTGTGCCTCATTGAAGACCTCGAGGCTGAAGTGGACAGGTCAGAGTCGGACGAAGAGTATGCTGACGATGATGATGACGAGGAGCTGTCGTAGTGCGTCTTGGGCGGCCGAATGGTTCGTGATGAAGACATGATGTTGACAGGTGGATGGGGAGGGGGCGGGAAGCCCATACATATAACGTTGGTGCCGATGCAGTGAGAGTGTGTTTGCCTTGTCTTGGGAAGACAACAAGTAGAACGGCCTAGACCAGTGGGAGCGACTTTGAGCTGGAAGTTGTTGTCGAGCAAGGCGGGGCGTTTCTGTTTGGTTCTGGAACAGACCAGGGATAATTGAAGGAGTAGCAGGAGGACAGAAGGAATCTAGGATGTCCCGGATGGAGGTGTTTTATGAAAATAGGAAATCAGAGCAGGACTAGGATGGCTGAGCAAGAGATAAAGAGCGATCCGGCTGTGGGTGCAGCGCGCATCTCCAACGACATGGGAGCCGGGGGAGGGGGGTGTGTGTGGTACGTATGCAAGTAAGTCTCTTTTTCGAGAGCATCCAGCAACAGAGGTACCCAGGACACAGCCAGAGACAACGCAAGACACAATGGCGCCGATGCGGGCTCGATGAGACGACGCTCGCTCACTCACACAAACACCGCGCATCCACCCACACCCCTCCCCCAGGCTAGACAACAGTCATCCGCACGCCAGCCTAGAGATGGGTGCGACATACGGCACAAGACTGAACCTTGTTGACAGGGGTGCCGGGGTGTGTGCAGCAGAGGGCCAGATGAGCCAGGGTAACGCTAAAACGCTCACGCCCCCCTTGATCCAAGCCAAAAGCCAAGGTTTTTGTCTCCGTCTTGCAGCAACCCCACTGGACCGCCCGCCCAGTCCAGGTTTGAATTGGCAAAACGGAGCTGGCACGTCGGGCCAGCCAAATTGATCAGGCCACAGAGGGTACGGTGACGGAACGGAGGGTTGGCCGAGCCCCCAATCCTCATCTCCGCCTGGTTACCTACTGAGTTCGCGCTTGTCTCATACCCTAGATCTCGGCGAGATAGAGGGCTTCTAGCGTCCATATTTCAGCCCCTGTACCCATGAAAGGCGTGAGAAAAGATCGCTGGAGCAAGCCTCTGCGACGCTAACAACGCCATAACTCTTATGCCTGAAGGGAAGAGGAGAACAAAACGGCGGATCCTTCAAATACCTTCTGTATTGCAACTGGTAGCCAGCTGGGGGGAATGCCACGGTTTCTTCTTGATAGTCGGGTTCCATCGCGACGAGGGGAGGGAAAAAACTGGAGATTGCTTTGTTGCCTGCATGCATCTCGGCTCGTTGCTGGGCAAGGGGAACGGCAATAAGGGATGCGTGAGGGCATTTGCTCGCACTTGCTTGCAACGCGTCGAGATGACACCGCCAATATCCAGATCACGGTTGAAAGTCCTGCAAGGAAACGGAACAACCGGTGGGATAGTATGGGACGGGCGTACAAGTACAGCTGCAGGATGCCTGTGGGCGAAGGGAGGTGGTGCACCACGGCCAAGCTCCCCCGTTTCAGCAGAGTTATGTGTCTGCCCAGAGCTTGGCTATCGGGAAAAGTGCAGAACCATCGAGCCAGTCTCCGCCGCCGACGGGTCTTCCCAGCTCCCAAGACCACCCAAGCTCTGGGCCAAGCCAACCTCTTAGTCAACCGATGATCCGAGAGACCTTGGACAGAGAGGACAAGCAAAAGGACTGGAAAGGAGACTGGCTTGGTCATTGCCTGACAGCGAGCATCCGAAGCTTTGAGCTCGCAACACCTGGAGCGGTCCCATCCCAAATCTCACGGTAACTACTGCTCCAGACGGGGAAACCGTCCGTCCCCAATGTTGTCTCCATCCATCCTCTCCACAGAGGCGTCCAGTGCGCTGAAAGGACTTCCGTTCCCCAACTCGGCCAGGTACCTGACGGAGCTGAACAAAACGGAGCCCAGCTGTGGAGAGATGTGGGCTATTCAAGGGGCTCTGAGATCCATTGGGAGCTCAAAAAACGGAGTGCCCAACAAGAGCCGAGGCAAGCAAAATGGAAAGGAATCTGTCCGTTCAAGACACACCCCCTCCACCCTCTCTCGAAAAGGAGAAAGGGACGGTAGAGAGGCCGGATCGTCCCAACAGACCAACCAGCGACCAGCTGCGACGATGGAAATGGCGTTACGGTGGGGCATGTCCGTCCTGTCGCGATTTCCGTTCAGGTTTTTGAGCGAGGAGACAGAGAGAAGGAACCCGATTGGGTCTAGCTCCAGGTTCCAGACCTCTGATCCATGGTAGAAAAGCCCGATCTCGATCTCCATGGGCCCTGTACAATGACGATCCCCAGGTAAACAGCCAGCAATGGCAGCCGCCGAGAGGAATAGTGTTAGAGGGAGAGCAGAATACCTACATAATGGATGGCAGAAAGGGGAAAAAAAAAAAAAAAAAGAGACTCTTTCCTCTGGGCCTGCAGGCAGGGCATTTGCATGCATGAAGCAGGACTTGCAGGGAGGCGACCCAACAGCAGCCATCAGAATCGGTCACTTGAGGGCTTTCGGAGGCGCCTTGCGTGAATTGTCTCCCGGAGCGACAAGAACAGACTTCTTTTCCCTCATTGAGCCCTGGTCCTGGTCTCCTGGGTGGCGGGTTGGGCGTATGTACAGACAGACCACCAGCCTGACAAGCCTGACAGCATTTGCATCAACTGACCGCAGTCGGGCTCCAACTATGTAAGTTACATGTAAGTAGTTGAGGAGGTGGGCTTGTCATCTCTCCGTTTCTCACAACGTAGAGCAACCGTTGATGGTTCTGGAAACCCCAAGAATCAGATGCACCACACCTTCGGAAGCTGGGCCATCTCAGGGCACTGCCGTCAGGAATCTCCCGCCTTAGCGAACAATCTTCTTTTCTCCTCCCTTTGCTGCAAGTGCAACATCTTTCATCGAGAAGATGGTGTCGAGCTGTCCCTCTCGTAACACGCGGGAGACAGGATCAGGCCCGTGTTCTGATCTGTTGTCATCGAGATCCAAATATGAGCTCCGACCTGGCACATGACCTGGAGAGGGGGTTGTTCGGCGCCCCCCTGGCTGGTCCAGTCGGCCCTGACAGGTGCTTATCTCCAGCTCTCCCAGTGGCTCGCCAGCAGCCAGGGCGCGCAGCTTGCCCGCAGATGAGGGGAAGGCAAGAAGAGTCAGAGGTTGGTTTCGATGGTAGGCGAGCTCTCAGATATGATCTCGATATCGTTGATTAAAACCACCCGGAGATCCGCCACACGAACGCGCAACAAGCCCGTTGTGCTTCTCCGGGGCGTTGTATCTCGGATCTTCGCAATTGTAGCCGAGACATGCACATCGAAGGGCTGCTGGGAATCGAAATCGAAAGATTTCAACATTGAACCCTGATTGACAGCGATTGCCGATCCCGGTGACCTCGATGGAGAGGAGCAACTGTAGTGATGCCCCCTTGGCATTGATCTGCAGCCACCGTTTTGTGCTTCCCAAGCTGAAGGATACTTGTGGGGACGACATGTGTCTTCCCCATCGACGATCAGCAAAACCGCGGGACATCCGTTTCAATATGGGCCATTGCTTGATGGTAATCTTTGGCACTTGGCACACTACTGAGACTACATCTCGATACTGTCCTGATGATCCAGTCTTCTCTCTCTGGGATCATCAACGGGAGTGTCCAGTGGACCTCGAAGTGCTGGCATTCGACGCAGTGGAGATGCGGTGCACAGCTCAGACCTGATGTGATTTTTTTTTAATTAATACGGCACGCCCAACTGTTGCGCAATGCCAGAAGCCTCACTTTCTCTCTGCGGCGCAGAACTCCCCTTGGGAATCCTAATGCTAAATTTGTCATTCTCATGATGATATGCTTGCCGCAGGGAGGTCCCGGTAAAGAAGCATCAGGCTGACTGATCCCTGAACGTTTCAAACATGGCGCCACAGAGAGAATTGTGGGCATTCTTTTGTTTCTCTGCCTCGGGAGGATCCCGTCTTGGACAGTACGGTTTTGTGTTTTTGTCGTCCAGCCTCTCTCTCTCTCTCTCTCTCTCTCTCTCGCCCACCAGGTTCCCAACTTTGTGCCATATTCTCGATGCAATCGGATCTCGTTCACCCCTTGCATGCCTGCCAACTACTCTCTCCCCATCTACAAGTAAGTGTAATCATCTTCCTTAAGGGCTGGCAAAGACGCTTGTTTTTGACAGGTTTCGGCTACCACACCCGGAAACGGGGGGGATGGAAGGGAAGACTACGCGCAGCCATCGTCAGCCCGGTGGGGGGATCGGGCTGGGCCAAACGGGCTTACACCTCGAGGGCCCCACACTGCGCCGCCTGTGCCTGAAACTGAAAAGAAAAAAAACAGAGCTTCTCCCAGTCCCAGTCCCCGCCCAGCCCTTCCGCGGCTGAGCTCCGTCCGCAACAGAGTTTGTAGGGCTCCGTCGTGGCTCCGTTCCCGCTACAAGACAAGACATTGTTTTTTTAATGGGCTGTTGAACACAACTCATCAAGTCTCGAGACGGCTCCACACTTGCCAGAAGGCCCCCCCTTGTGCTAATCTGCCGGTTAGCTATCTGATGATCATATGCCTGATCCTGTGCCGCTGAGAAGAGGTCGAAGACCTGCGGAGTACCTAGGCAAGGCGAGGATACTGAGCCCCTCTGCTCCTCCTTCAAAACGACATTGCAGGGACGTTCTACAGCTCCACCGAGCCATCGTACCAGCATCAGGCTGTCTGCTTTCGGGACCGAACATACGTTTCTGTCCGCATCAGCTTTTGTATATCTGACACAAAACACCAACAGTTCAGTTGAGGCGAGCCAACAGGCAAAACACGTACGAAGTAGGTAGGTAGGTAGAAGAACAGGGTCAGTCTCCAACAGCTACATGCTCGAAATTGGAAAGTGCCAAGGGTTGGGTTGGGTAAGTAAAAAAAAGAAAAAGGTGAGCCCCGCTTCTCAGACGCCAAGAAAGGGGCCGCAAAATGATCTTCCAACGGTCTAGACCGTCTACCTAGGTACCTAATAACATCCCGCAGAGAGGATCAAAGAAGAAGAAGAAAAAAGTAAGCAGAACCACTTTCGACCTGCGATCCGAGATTCCCGTCCTCCCATTCCGCGACGCCCAGCCAGGACAGAGTCGTGCCCATTCTCGAAGAATCCTTAGCTCTTCCAAGGGGCCGCCCGTGCTTGTTCATTACTCCGAAGGGTGCCAAAGCTGCTCCTACGTTACAGCTGTCCTCGAGCCCAAGACGTACGGAGTAGTGCTTATTTCCCCGTGCTCGATTCGAGGGCCTTGGGACATCAATATGCCGAAGGGAAAAGGACCCTTGAGGCGCCGTGCAGGCCGGGACGCGTCTCCTGGCACCGAGCAGCCCTGTCTACCTACCTACCTATGTCTGCCTGCTCGTTTGGCCGGGAGCTTACTCGGCCGACGTGGCATCCACAGGGCAGGTACTGTGAAATCATCCTTGACGAAACAATCCCTTCTGGCAGATCTGGCGGAAGAGAAGCTGACAATCTCGATGCGACATTCCTGAGCAAGGTCCCTCCCTCGGTGCCTTGAATCGGGGGGTGTTTTCTACTACCAAGCCCGAAAAGCATCGGGCGGCGTCCTTACTCTAAACCCTAAATCCTTCTCTCATAGGTATCTTTCTGGAAAAGTCTCCCTTCCGGACTGGCGTCCCCTCCGGCAATGGATATGCCGATCGACCCCCGATCGTTTCGTTTTTTGGCAACCCGCTTGTTTCCTAGCTTCCGTGACTCGCTAAAAGGGACCTTCCCTTTCGATAGCGGGGGGGGGACATTTCGTTAAAGAGACGTCCGCAGGGCAAGCTACCGAAAGCTTGCCGCCGCTATCGACATGGCTGCCATCGAGCAGGCCGCCATCCATCGGTGAGATTGAAGCTACAAATGCTTCAGAGCGCCGCCGCCAAGAGATATCGAGGCGATGAACAAAGAGCTATGGGGCGTCGTCGTAGTATGTAAGTATTCGTTGGTCCACGTATCGCGGGAGAGAGAGAGAGAGAGAGAGAAATTAAACGCGTACACCCGCCACCCTTGCTGAGCTGTCTGCATGTTCGACCGCTTACGGGACACAACTCTGGCTGCAGGCACAGCCCGTCGAGGGGGGGGAGGAGACCATGCATGCCTTCCGGGGCTTCCCATCAGCCCTCGACTTCCCTCAACCTCTTCCTTTGTCAAAAGTCCGCAGGGGGGAGGGGGGGGGACACGCAAAGCTTGCGCGTTTGCGCCAAGGCTGGATGATAACCAGCCCCGAACGCCGACGGACAGCTCCCGTCGCCTCCGGCCGTTTTTCTGGGGGTGGGCAGCCTGTGTAGCATCTCATTGTCGCCCGGGGCAGTAACTATACGCACGCTCTGTTGTTGTTGGCCCCCGAGAGTGCCGCGGGACGGAGATGATGGGGTTTTCAATCTCGCAAACCAGAAACTCTCAAGAGATTGAAGCTGCGTTACGCAAAAAAAGGTCAAACATTGAGCCGCAATCGCGCCCTGCCCGCCCTGCGCGGCATGCAGTTTTCAAGCCACAAGGCAGTGGTCTAGAACGACCTGCTGACAGCCCCCATGTCTACACCGTTTGTCATGAACCCTGCATATGCCCCATGCACATGTGTGTGTTCATGCGCCCCCCCTCTCTTGTTGTCCTCTCTACCCGCGCGTGTGTGAGAGAGAGAGAGAGCCCGTGACTGACCTTTTGCATGTTTTCCTTTTCATCGCAAAAGAACCGGCTTCTCACGACCAGTTCGTAGCCTACACACACACACACACACGGGGGAAATAAATGTTTAGGAAATATGCTACCGCGATCCAATTCAAGACATGGCTTGCCTGGGAGGAGATAAACTAGTGTCACGATACCTAGGCCCGCCTCAGAAAGAGGACAGTTCGTAGGGCTAGCTAGCCATGAGGTTGGTCTAGAAGCAAGGCTAGACCGCCGCCTCTCTTCCCTCCCCCCCTTTGCTTTCCCGGCTCAAAACACTACCAAGTACAAGCACCTGTCACTCAGTTGATCGAAGCGGACGGGCCGTAGCGCATTGTTGTTGGTATGCCGTGTAGCCGGGGGGGGGGGTGTCTGGTGGAAATCTTGTCAAGTCCTCTAGAACTGACAAAGAGAAGGACAGCGGAGCCATCCGTTCCTGGCCACTGCGCGACAACACAAGCAGGGCATTCTATTGCCCCTAGCCTGTGCCCGACACAGAACTCTATTGCAGGAGAGGCGTAGGCTACGGGGAATACCGACATGCCAAAGGTGCCTCCTTGTCATGGCTTCTCGGGCCCAGGCTCTCTCCATGGCGTGTTCGCTCGTGCGCTTGAGATGAGCTCTTTACACTTCTCTCTCTTCCTCTCTTCAGAGCCGCGCGATCTTCAACTGAGGCCCACGATGCACTCGCACCAGGCAAGGCCCAGATTGCCGCATGGTTACATGCCACGGCAGATGCATAGTCGGGCCAGGCAGACCAGGGACGGAACACGGGAGGAAATCCTCTTCTTTCTATCATAGTATGGGTTAGGTATCCTGTACATGTAAACCTGACAAGCGCGGTACACAGCAGACAAACTCGGCCTCCTCCTGCTCAGGGCGAGCGCGGTCTAGACCTCCATGGCCCCCCTCCTCCCCAGCAGGATGCGCGTGCGCACACACCCCCCAAGCAGAGAAAGCCTCCTCGGATACGACGCATGCAGTGGTCGCATCCGGAGATCAGAAGGGGGAGCATAGTAGCGTTTGTATATACGCCTTTTGCTCAGGACGTGGGAGATGTCATCTCCGTATGGTCGCGTGGTCAAACCGTTCGGATGCGCGGCTGTGGGATGTTGACTTGAGAGGCGTGTGCGTATCCATGCATCTGGCCGATGGGTAGGTATGGTGGGAAGCTGTCAGGCGGTTCCGGCCGAGTCTAGCCTCTGCGGTGACTGACCGTGTTCAAAAAGGCTAGTCGAGGGGATTGACAACCGTTTGATGAACTCTTGACAGGTCACCCCCTCGTGAGCGTTTTGGGTTCCTCCTCGCAGTTGAACCGGCAGGAAGCCTCGAGGAGGTCTAGACCAGACCGAAGTGGTTTTTGTATCAGGAGGCGGAGGATCGGGTCTTGTGGTTGGACTGTGTTTCTCTCCCCAATCATTCCTCCGTAGCGCGCCCCTTGGACGCCTCATCCTTGGTTCCAAGGCCCGTATCCTCGGCCTTTGCAGAGCGCTCAACCACCCTGGCCGCCTCAGCCGCTGGTTTCGCGACCTCCGGCCGTGGCCCCATGGACTCGATGAGATAGCCCTCCAGGCTCCAGAGCATCAGCTGCAGGCCCGCGGTCCTCTTGTCCCCGTGCACCAGGTACATGGACCCCTCCCGCAGGATCTCCGGGCCCTCCTCCCTCAGCCGGCGCACCTCCTCCTCGCCGAGCATCCTCGTGAGATCGTAGACCGGGTGCACCGACCCGTACTTTGCCGTCCCGAGCTTGATCGGCGCGAACGGGCCGAACCTATGAGGCCGAGGCGCGGCCGCCGTGGCACCTCCCTGCTCGCCGCCACCGCCAAACACCGCCCCGAACCTCTCCTCGAAGCCGCCCTCCTCGTCGACAGCAGCCCCCGCCGCGGCCTCGCCGCCGCGCGGCTTGAACGCAGCGGCCTCGTCCCCCATGGCCAGCACGCACCCGCGCGCCGGCGTGCCGCGGAACTCGCCGTCGCCGTCGAACCGCTGCAGGATGTCGATGGGCGTGCGCGACCGCACGGCCGCCATGGCCAGGATCTCGTCGGCCGCGCGGCGCCGCCGGTGCCGCAGCACCACGTCGTGCATGTCGCGGCGCCAGACGGCGCGCCCCGCGAGCGCCTCGTCCCGCGCCGTCCGGCCCATGCGCATGAGCCGCCTGTGGCCGTTGGCGTACCTGCTGCCCGCGCTGGCCTCGCCCGTCCGCCACTGCCCCGTCACCAACACGACGCTGCCCCTCGCACTTCAACCTCGGCAGGGGCAAGCAGTTCCAGCCGCGGGCCGACCCGACCGCCGCCATGCCGGGCAAGGGCGCCTACGCCCTGGCCCGCGGCGAGCTCCTGCGCGCCATGTCGCCGCCGC